TGCTCTCCCATGCTTCCTGCTCCCCACAGTACTGCTGCCTCAGATTCTTCCCTGAGGACTCATGCAGGGCTGCACAGCTGCTGAGCCCGGAGCTCCTTGGTTTCCAGTTTAGGAGTAAATGAAGTCATTCCCATAGGGGTCAATTTTATCTAAAAGAGGAACCCCAAAGAGCCTGGTATTGATGTCACATGGGGGAACTGGGCCTTCAGCTTCCTCTCTTCCAGCCTGTGCTTTTTCAAAACAGACCGGTGGGTGATATTTCTGCCTCTGCTCCATTGCAGGCTGCAGGCTCAAGTGTTCCAGCCTGAGCAGCATGCCCTCTGTCAGGCTCCAGTGCCAATACTCCTGCATACCTCCCACTGTCGCTCACATGTGCACACACACACCCCTTCATATACACACTAACACACACACACATATGTACCCAACAGCCACAAACGCACACACTTGCTCCCACCCTTGACCATACATGCACTCACATACACGGACTCTAACACACACTGACACATGTATGCTGACACACATATGCTACCCATACCCTCCCTAGACTCACACTCACACCCCCCCACATGTACATTCACCTCCCACCTTGCTCACATACAGGCACACATGCTCACCGATACCCACCCCTGAGCCTGCACTCACACCCACGCTCACTCATTCACACCAGCACTCACACATACCACAAGCTGCCAGCATCTTCTGTGATTTTGATGGAAGGAGAGGTAAGTCCTTGGAAATCTCCTGACCTTTTAATCCAAATCTGCTCCCTCCTACGTTGGGGGATCCTTTGCTCCGGGAGGGGTAGAAATGATTCTGGGCCTTGGGACTGATGGTGGAGACTTTCAGAGACTGATTCTAGTCACAGTCCCTCCAAACCCACCTCAGGACAGGCCCTTTGGCAGTGAAGTCTCAGCAGAGGGGGAGACCACCAAGCTGGGCCCCACGGCCATCTGCCTGGAGGCAGCTCCCAGCCTCTGCTGCCCCTCAAATCCAGTTTCCTTACTGCCCCTCAGCACTGGCTGCTTGAAAAACACTTTCTTCTCTAAACAAATACAAACGCTGCATTTCCTGAGAGACCTAATCAAGACTCCAGTTCTTGCCTCAGTCTTCCTGTCCAGCAGCCCCTGTCTTGGGGAAGTTCCTGGTGGCCTCAAGAGTGTCTCACCACCTTCAGGAAGGCCCCTGAAGTTCTGGCCCACACAATCCTGTGTTGCTCAGGCAGCTGTGACCCCCTGTGGCTGTCTGGACAAGGTGGAGGGTGAGGGGTGGTGGGCGCTGTACCCCTGATTAGTGACCTTTCTGAGCGTCAGGCCTCACCAGGTGGGGCCACTTTTGAAACAGACAGTCCAGGTACCAGTCTCCTGGCAGGTGGGAGGTGCCAAGCTGGGGCTCAGGAGGCAATGGGAGAGGAGAGAGCTGCAGGGTGGCATGGGGCCTTGGGACACAGACTCTCTGTTAAATGTTTTTTTAAGTTGGAAATAATTTCAAATTTATGAAAAATTATAAAAACAGAACATAATACAAAGAATATCCTTATATTCTTTGCCAAGATTTACCTATCATTAACATTTCACTCTGTTTGCTGTACTATTTGTTCCACTCCAGTAAGTGTGCACGTATACGTGTATGTGTGCACGTAGTCATGTATATGCATATGCACATGCATGACGCTTCCCTAGCCATTTGAAGGTAAGCTTGAGCTTTACCCTGAATATTTCAGTATTTTCCAGGAATAGAGAATTTTCTTACATTTCCACAGCAGAGCAATTAACACTGGTGTTTTTCATAAAGATGCCATTTTGATTTACTGCTCATCTTCCAGTCCTCTACCCTCCCTCCTGAGTCGGATATTGCATTCAGCTGTCACACTACGCTAGCCTTCTTGAATCTGGGACACTTCCTTGGTCTTCTTTGTCTTTTAAATTTTTAAAAAAGATTTATTCTATTTTATTTATGCATACAAGAACTGGGGTAGAGGCCAGAGGTACGAGGGATGAGAGGATTCACCAGAGACAGAGTGGGGAGCAGAACAGGCAGATCTACTGAAATACACTGCTGAGGGGAGCAGCAGGTGAGTCAGGAGAGGTCTGCTGCACCATGTGGGTCAGCTCGTTGGCTGGGATCGAACTCATGTCACAGTGGATGGCAATGGCTTGATAGCGCTGAGACTTCAACCCCTGCACTACCAGGGAGGTCCCCTACCTTTGCCTTTTATGACACTGAAAAGTCCAGAGACTTTGGGGAAGGACGTCGGCACGGGTGGTTTCACACAGTGGGTGAGAGTAGCGATGTTGGCGTCCCTGCTAGCTGTTTATTGGCTCTATGACAGTGGGCAAGGCTCTTAACTTGTTGCCTCAGTTTTGTCATCTGTAAGTACAGAATCTCCATGGGCCTGCCTCATGGCTTATCACAAGGTCTTGCGCACAGTGAAAAGCAAAAGATTCAATTTTAAGAGTTTACTTATTGTTACTGTTACGAATCTGCTCTTCCTGGTGGCCTCAAGAGCATCTCGCCACCTTCAGGAAGGCACAGGATTGTGTGGGCCACTGAATGCCTACAAGGGTGCCAGTGGCACAGGGCTCAGGGCCAAGAGGGCCTTGTGATAGCCCATGGTCCTTCCTGCCTGATATCCAAGGGCCCTGAGATCTGGACACGCAGCTGTCTCATGGGATGGCCACAGAGACTGGCCAGCTGAAGACCTTGTGGGAATGCGGCCACCTCAGCATACAGCAGCGTGAAAGTGCTGGTTCCCCAGCCGTGCCAGTGAAAGTAACACTGGGATCCATCAAGAAGAGACGCCCCTCTCAACTACCAGCCTGACTGGGTGTAGACCCTGCATTGCTCAGTCAGCCCTGGGAGGTGGCTGGAAGTGTACTTGGAGAAGTGAGCTGAGAAATTAGCTGAAGTGATTGAAGGTAAGTAAGTATTGTTGGACGGCTTCCTTGTGCTCAGGTGGAAGGGGAGCTTGGGAAGACATCAATTTAATTATAGGGAAAGCAAGTTACAATTTTGCATACTTGCCATGTTAATTCCCAATGGGAGGGCTTAGGAGCTTTCCAGTGACTTCTCCTAACCAGGTATTCTGTTTTCTTCTTTACTTTTGACTGAGAGAGGAACTGTGTCATATGGGAAGGAGGCTTAAAGGGATCCCATGAGAGAGCAGAAAGCACAGAATCAAAGGTAAAATGTCTCCAGAAATCTCCCTGATTTCTGAAACTTGATGATCCTTTGACAGTGTCAGTAAAGGCTGCCATATATATAGGCTGTCCATCCATCCATCCATCCATCCAATGCAGCCTCCATACTCTTTTTTTTTTTTTTAAGATTTATTTATTTATTTATTTATTTATACAAGCACTGGGTATAGCCAGAAGCGCGGGAGGGTGAGAGAATTCACCAGAGCCAGAGTGGGGAGCAGAGCAGGCAGAAGGACCGAAGTACACTGCTGAGGGGAGCAGCGGGAGGCAGGAGAAGTCTGCGTGCCATGTGGGACCCTCCTCCGGTGGCCGGGATGCAGCTGGGGATCGAACCGGCGCTGCAGAGGTTGCGGGCAGCCTCGCAACCCAGCGCTCAACCGCTGCGCCACCGGGGAGGCCTGCAGCCTCCATAGTCTTGCCTCACCATCCTTATAGACATTGCCAAGGAGGGAATTAGTCCATTGACATGCTTTTTTTCCCCCAAATAAATTTTATCCCTGTAAATTGCCTGACTGCATTGAGTTTAGCTACTTTAGAGAAAATTTTTCTAAAATGGATTGTTAACATTTTTTTTTTACAATATGATGTGTCACATCACCTGGGTCTTTCCGGATGATCCAGTTCACTGCCCTGCATGCCAAGCACAGTATTTTTTTTTTTTTAAAGATTAATTTTTATTTATTTATACAAGCACTGGGTACAGTCAGAAGCACAGGAGGGTGAGAGAATTCACCAGAGCCAGAGCAGGGAGCACAACAGGCAGAAGGACCGAAGTACACTGCTGAGGGGAGCAGCAGGCAGCAGGAGAGGTCTGCGCGCCATGTGGGACCCTCCTTCAGTGGCCGGGGAGCAGCCGGGGATCGAACCGGCACTGCAGAGGCTGCGGGCAGCTTCGCAACCCAGCGCTCAACTGCTGCGCCACCAGGGAGGCCCCAAAGCACAGTATTTTATTGTAGAACAAGTGGCGTGGCCCTCAGGGGCTGTCCGTAGCTTCACCCTAAATGACCCCAGTTGCTCCGATTTTTGGTGCTTTGTCTTTTTTTTTTTTTTCCTGATTCTAAGAGCCTAGTCACTTGTTACTTTTAGAACTCTTGGACACACTTCTAACAATTTTTTTTTTAAAGATTCATTTATTTATACAAGAACTGGGGTACAGGCCAGATGAACGGGAGGGTGAGAGGATTCACCAGAGGCAGGCAGAGTGACTGAAATACACTGCTGAGGGGAGCAGCAGGCAAGCCAGGAGAGGTCTGCTGTGCCATGTGGGATTCTCACCAGTTGGCTGGGATCGAACCCGCCCTGCAGAGGCTGCGGACAGCTTTATAGTGCGGCACTCAATCACCTGCGCCACCAGGGAGGACCTAACAATTATTTCTTTAGATGGTTTTGGAGCGGGAAAGATGGTCACCAAGTATATAAAGCAAGAGTCTCCCAAGTTCTTTATTTATTGAAGACTGGTTTTCAAAGCACATGAGTTTCCTCTCTTTGTAACCTCATGTTTACTTCACCCTGGGTTCTCTGCTATACTCGAGGTGGCTGAGGTCCTTGGAGGCGTAAGGTGGCATAGTGTAACTGAATTGTTCTTCCCTGACCATTACTGCATTCTCTTGAAGGAGAGAGGGGATACCAGAGACTGTCCTGACTGACTCCTCCCTCAAAGGGGGAGGGGATGGAGGCCCCGGACCAGCTAGTCAGTGGTATCTAAAAGAAGTGTTTGAGGGAGAGGGGAACTCTGAGCTTCGCTGACAGTGTGCAGGTGACCAGGGAAGGGATCACTGCCGGCCCTGACTTCTGGTGGTGATGGCCAGTGTGGATGGGGAAGAGCCAAGGGAACCCCAAGGGCTGCCACGGGGCTTGGTCTCTCAAGTTCTAAAGCAGGATTGGAACCAGCGGTGAGACGGGCTATTGGGGTGTGGGTTGGGGGGAATCTCAGCTGTAAACCCCTCCTTTCCTGAATACCCCACATAACACAGCCCTGAGATGGCTCCTTTAAATATACAGATATCGTGACCCTCAAAATATGTGCCTGAACTGCAAGGCAGTTCCCTGCAGAAGGAAACCCCCCTGGCAGGGTATGAGCTCCTTCCCTTCCTTCTCACGATGGTCTCCCCCAACTCCTCATGCCTGACACCCACTTATGACAAAAGGCATCCTCTGAACTTGGACCATGACCCCCCTAAAGACAATTACACTTCCTGGCTCTCAGGGGGACCTAGAAACACTCCCTATATACACTCATACCCACATGCTTTGACACCCTCAGGCCTAACAAAACCTTGGGTCTTGGAGTTTGGTGTGCTGATCCCAACATCCTTCTCCCCTCCCCAGGATTTTTGTCAACCACAGCCTGGCCCTGGGGAAGATTCGCTGCTTTGGTTTCGACTTGGATTACACTCTGCCTGGTAGGGAGGAGGAAGCACAGGAAATTTGGGACAGGGCAGAACAGGAGGTGGGCAACCACCAGCCTGGGTCTTCTTGGGATCTCCACAGCGTACAAATCCCCGGCCTATGAGACGCTGGCCTTCGAGTTGCTGCTGGAACGCCTGGTGTGCATCGGGTACCCTCATGAGACCTGCGCTACACCTACGACCCTGCCTTCCCCACCAGGTGCACGGGTGGGGGAGCCCTCTCCTGGTGGGAGGGGGCTGTCACCGGCCATGGCCTTGGCACCCCCACCTGCAGCCTTTGCTCTCTCCCCAGGGGGCTGGTGTTTGACTCACTCTACGGGAACCTGCTGAAGGTGGATGCCCACGGGAATGTGTTGCTGGGAGTCCATGGCTTCTCTTTTCTCTCTGAGTAAGGGAGTAAGGGGGTGGGGTGGAGGGAAGAAGAGGCGAGTATACTCCTGGATACTGGAGGAGAGAAAGGAGGGAGGGGAGATAGGTTCACAGCAGAGGCTCACAAAGTCAGGTTGATAAAGGGGGTAGAGCAGGAAGGGTGGAGGAGGAAGGAGTGGCAGGGCCCGGCCCCTGGGCGGCGCTGGTGAGGGGTCACAGCGGCACCCAGCTTGCCTCCCTCTGCATAAGGAGCTTCTACCCCAGTAAGTTCATTCAGAGGGACCAGGTGCAGCGCTTCCGCTTCCTCAATACTCTCTTCAGCCTGCCAGGTGAGGGTTGGATGGGAGTGTGGGGAGGTCATTCTCTGGGGCCCAACTCGAGCCTGGGAGGCTGCTGCCTGGATCCCTGGCCAGTGACTGGCCTGCCTCTCCACCCCAGAAACTTATCTCTACGCCTGCCAGGTGGACCTCTTCTCTGGCTGCTCTCGCTACACCAAGTGCGTCCTCGGACCTGCCTGGCCGTGGGTGACCGATGGGATGTTATCACTGCCCAGGGGCCCAGCCTTGAAGTGGGCACCTGCCAGATGCAGAGGTCCCTCAAGAGGATTTGAGGGGTTATAGGAGCACAGCAAAAAGGCTTTCATTGCAGAGGGCCCCTAAGCCTGTCATCAGTGTCCTCTAGTGGTGACATTCAACACCCCTCCCTGAATGGCTAGGACATGAGTCCAGTGTCAGCCTCACTGAGACTGGAGGGGTCTCTCTGGTATAGGCTCTGGGGTGGTGGTCACCTCAGGTCCCCTAATTAGCCTCCCCTTCCTCTCTTGTTCTGTGCCAGCTGTGACACTGGCTATCAACATGGAAACCTCTTCATGTCTTTCCAAAGTCTGTACCAGGATGTAACAGAGTGGCCCAGGACCCCAGGACCCTTGATCCGTCCCTGCTTGACTCTCCTAAGCCAACTCCCAGGACTCCAGGTCCCATCAAGTTTCTGATTTTCTTCCCACTGAGGACTGTGACCTGGGCTCCCCCCAATCTTGGATCTAGGCTAGTGCATGGGCACACACACGTGTGCGCGCGCGCACACACACACACACACACACACACACACACACTCTGCCCTCCTTCCTCCTACAGGGTTGTCTCAAAGAGAAGACTCTTGAAGACCTAGAGAAATATGTGGAGAAGGATGTGAGTGTCCATAGACCCAGGGTCATGGCCAGGCCTATCCCTTTCTCCCCCTGTTCCCCAGGACAGTAGGACTGTTCCCCTTCCCTGACCTCCTTCCTAAAGATTTGTACAAGCTGACAGCCTGGCATTGCTCAGGACCTCCCTGCCTGATGGGGGGTGGGCTGGAGGCTGGCTCCCAGGAGGCTGAGGCCTGAAAGGGCCTCCCAGGACTTCTCTGGGGGGGACCACACCCACAGAATTCAATCCTATCTCTGTCCCAGGAGCAAATCCCCATCCTGCTGGGCAAAATGAAGAAGGTTGGGAAAGTGTTTCTGGCCACCAACAGCAGCTACAACTACACAGATGTGAGTGTTTATGGAGGGATGGGGCCCACAGCCTCTGTGCCCAGAGTCTTGCCTCCTTCCTGACTCCAGGGGAGACTGAGGCACTGCAGGAAACAGTGAAGGGGTGAGGTAGCTGCTACCCCCACCACTTGGTTGGCTGGTGTTTTGGGGTCCATTTTTCTTGTCTTTTAAGGTGAAATGAGCAGCTTCCCTACCATCTTATGCCTTGTTCTTAGTGTGTCCTGGGGTGAGGGGAGGTGAGAGCAGAAGCAGGCAATGGCCCCTGGGGGCCTGACCTTTGGGGGCCTGACCTTTGCCCTGTCCTTGCCAGGCTATCATGACCTACCTGTTTGGTGCCGCAGAGGTAAGTGCCATGTGCCTGCCTGGTTGGGTTATCCAAGATGAGGGAAGGCCAAGGTTTGCCATGGTCTGAAGGCCTCTGCCATGTCCAGGTCCCTCCTTGAGGAGGAATCTAGTGTGTGGAGGGGTCGGCTCACATGGGTGGGCCTCTGTCAAGCCTCCACAGTGGGTGGGAAGCCAGTGACTTCTGCCAGGAGGAGGAAATTATAGGGGTGGGGAACGGCTGCTAGAAAAGCATGAAAAGCATGACAAAGCAATCAGAGGTTTGGGGTGGGGCTCTGCAGGTGGAAGGGATGACATGAGGTTGTGCAGGCCCAGGGAGGGGAGTAGGGAACATGTCCTGCAACTCCAGTGTGACCAGGTGAGTTGATCACAGCTGTCCCATGTCTCCGGGTCTCTGACCGCATGGTGAGGCACTGTAGAGGTGATAAAAGAGTCCATGTGATGTCCCACACCAGCCTCCACAAACACAGGCAGAGAGCCAGCACCCTGGTGCCCTGGGTATGCGCCATCTCACTGGGAGGCAGACCAGGGCATGTGGACACTCGAGACTTGAGGGTCACACAAGCCCTGGCTGGGCTTGGGCTGGTGGCCCAGCTGGCCAGGGTGGAGTGGGGGTGGGTGACCCGGTTGAGGAAGGGGGAGCTGGGTGAGATTTTCGGGCTGAGTGCACATCTGCACACTCTCCCTACACCGGCCCAGCAGACGGAGGCCTCAGCCTGGCCTTGGAGGTCCTACTTTGACCTGATCATGGTGGACACGCAGAAGCCCCGCTTCTTTGCAGAGGGAACGGTGCTGAGACAGGTCAACATGGTAATGCTGAGGCCCCGTTCACCTTGACCTGTGGACCACAATGTGGGGAGGGAGTCTGCCTCTCATACTTGACCTGGGCTTTGCAGCTGTAGGCTGGGCTGGTTAGTCTGTCCCTGGGGGCAGAAACCCCTGGACTCCTTCAGGACAGCCTCCTTCCTCCCCTGTGTGCTGCCTTCCCTGAGCAGGTTGCCCCTCTGCCTTTCCCAGGACTCGGGCAAGCTCCGTGTGGGCACCTACACCGGGTCCCACCAGCACTGTGCCGTCTACTCTGGAGGTACCAGCTCCCTTGCCCCTCCCTGTCCTCTCCCTTGGCTGGGAGCCCATGTCCTGCACCTGCCCACCAGGACAGGAAGGGCTGTGAGTGAGCCTGCCCTTCCACGGTGGGGCAGGCTCCTCTGATGTGGTGTGTGAGCTGCTCGGGGTGCGGGGCAAGGACATCCTCTACATTGGAGACCACATCTTTGGGGACATCCTCAAATCCAAGAAGAAGCAGGGTTGGCGGACTTGCCTGGTGGTTCCTGAGCTGTCCCGGGAGCTGGGCATCTGGGCCCGGGAAAAGGGTGAGCCATGGTGGTCAGGAACTAGCAGGGTGGCACTGGATACCTGCTCATCTCCGCCTTTTACTCTGGGGGGTCATGAATGGCCATGACAATCCTGTCCACTTTGTGGTTTATGAGAGTGGATCTATTTTATACATGAGGAAATAGTGAGCCAGAGGGGTTAATCAGTTTTTCCAAAGTCACACAGCCTGAAGGGGCAGAGCCGAGACTCAAATCCCTGCCTCCTGACTTCAGGGACCCCTTGTGTTTTTGAGTCTTCCTTCCGCACCCTCCCTGAGGATTTTTATTTTTATTTATTTATTTTTTAAAAGATTTATTTATTTATTTATATAAGAATTGGGGTACAGGCTAGATGTGCAGGAGGGTGCAGAGACAGAGCGGGGAACAGAACAGGCAGACTGACGAAATACACTGCTGAGGGGAGCAGTGGGAGAGCCAGGAGAGCTTTGCTGCGCCATGTGGGAATCTGCCTTGCTGGCCCGGAATCAAACTGGCACTGCAGAGGCTGCGGACAGCTTCACAGCGCGGTGCTCAACCGCCTGCGCCACCAGGGGAGGCCCACCTCCCTGAGGATTTTTAGTCAGTGCAAGGCCCACTCCCCCACTTGAAATATTCTGGGATCAGGGATTGCTGAGAACCCAAACAGTTTGGGTTTAGCACAGGATTTTTTTTAAGATTTATTTTCATTTATTTATGCATACAAGAATTGGGGTATAGGCCAGAGGAACGGGGGCATGGGGAGGGAGGGGTAAGAGGATTCACCGGAGACAGATTGAGGACCAGAACAGGCAGATCTATTGAAATACACCATGACATGGTGTAGTTGGAGGCATTTGTAATGTGAATGTTATATCCTAAAATAGTTTATTCTTTGATAGGAAGGACTTATAAAGTGATTTGAAGGCATAGTGGACCGATCCTAAAGTGGGGGCCTATTGTACGTAGCTGTGGGGTGTGTGCAGTAGACACTTAGCCACCCCTGTCCTCCCTATAGGCTGAGATGGGCCCCGGGCAGACAAGTGTGGGAGGGCTGTCATTCATCCCTGCTGACTTCTGTCCTTGTTTCAGAGCAGATGGAGGAACTGAAAAGACTGGACACACATTTGGCTGATCTGTACCAGTGAGTTTGGGCCCCGGGGCCCTCCTGGGTGTGGGGAGGGGGTGGATGGTGTCAGCTACATGTAGACCTGGCAGCAAGGCCCTGGCCAGCATCATCAGGAAGTCAAGAGGATCCATTTCAGGCTGGGCTTCTCAAGTAAACTGGACTTTGGGGCCTCTCTGACCCCCGGGGACCACTTTCATTATTCCCCCAGGCCTTTCCTCTTAACCCACCCAGCATGGACACAAACTCCTATTGTCACACAGTGCACACATCCAGTTCAATGCTCCTACTGGGTGCCAGGCAGTGACTCCTGAATAGTGTGGGCGTGTAGGGAAAGAATGCCTGGAAGCTCAGTGCCTCTCTCCCTGGGTCATGTGGCCATTTTTGCACCAGGCACATGGATGGGAGCAGTTGTGGGCTGCAAGTCATCAACTCCACCAAGAGGGAGATTCAGGTAAGAGCTGGTGCCGAATGAGGAGGGGTGGAGAAGAGGGCTGTGCTTGGTTCCAGGTCTCCAGAGCCCAGTTATCTAGCTGGCTCACCCCAACCTGTGCAGCTCCACCTGTCCTTGTTAGCCATCGCCCTCTGCTGGCCCATGTTTCAAATGACAGCAGTGTGCTCAAGCAAGGGCTGAGCTCAGCCAACAGAGTGATTTGTGGAACTGGGTGTCTGTCCCTCAATTTCCACCATCAGCCCCCCTGGAGTAGTGCCTGTGTGAGCTGGATCCTCATAATACCAATTAGCCAATTGTTGTCAGTGTGAGGGATGAGCCAGACGAGGGGAATGAGAAGATGGGATTTAGGGCCAGTGAGCTTAGGGGTCTTGGGCAAAGAGAATTCCCTTGGGTCATCACAATTGGGAGAGTCCCAAGGGTCACTTGGCATCCCCAGGCTCTCGTGGGACAGTAACGAAGTATCTTTGTGGAGTCTTGCAGGGCATAAAACCCTTGCTCTCTATTTGTTCCTCCCACAATCCTCTGGGGGGGCTAGGTAAGGATTGCCACTCTTGTTTTAAGATGAGACTAAGGTTTAGAGAGGGGAAACAGCATGCTCTTGGTCACTGGTAGTCAATGTCTGCACCAGTTCTCTAGATTCTGAAAGAAGGGTGACGAGGTGGCCTGCTGGGGAGCCTGCTGGGGAGCAGGAAAGGGGCTGAACATGTGGGCCTCTGCAAAGCCTCTGTGGGAACATTGGAAGGTATATTATGCTGAGGGTTTAGTTTGGCACACTCACTCTCCAGGGCCAAGCAGGTGATTGGGAGGGAAGCAGGGAGTGGGGTTCATGGCAAAGAGGAGAGCTGCCCTCTTCCTAGAGCACTGTCTGGCATAACAGCTGCGTGCAGCTTCTGGGTACAAAGAATGCAGCTCCTTCCCTGTGTGGGCAAAGACCTCAATGCTCCCAGGTGACACAACCAGGGAGGCAGAGCTGGGTCTGGCCTCAGCAGGGTGGGCTTGCCCATGGGTGGTGCAGGGCCAGCTGGGATGGGATCTCAGTGTTCTGCCCCTTTGGACAGAGATTGTGTCAGGAGCTGGATCTGTGCTACAGCACTATGGGCAGCCTGTTCTGCTGCGGTTTCCGCCACACGCTCTTCTCCAGCCAGCTGAGGCACTACGCAGACCTCTACACGGCCACCTGCCTCAACTTCCTGCACTCCCTGCTCAGCTCCCTGTATCGGGGCGGCCCCAGAGCTGGTGCGTCCCTGCAAACCTCCCTGGTATCCCTGACCCTCCTGTCCAGAAACCCACTGTTCCCAGGCCTGCCAGGAACTTTTGACGTCACTTGACCTAGTCTCCTACCTCGTGACATAAGTGCATCAAATCCACTGCCAACAGTGCAGAGAGGAGCCAGTTATCTAGATAAGCGTCACTGCTGGGGAAGTTTCCCTCTTGCCCCACCCTAACTCCCGCTTTATACTGAAGCCACATCAATTTCATTTTTTCCTTAGTAGAAATGATGCAAGTTGTAGGAGGAAGGCCGATCAATGACCTCAGAGGAAGTAGCAGATGGTGCAGTAAATGCTCCAGCTGGTTCCCGTGGAAGAGCATGCTTTCCCATGCTCCCGGGCTGGGGACAGGCAAGTGGAGGTGGCGATGGTGGCACTGGATTAGCGGAAGCCACGGGACTGGCCAGTGCAGAGCCTCCCTGAGCATGTGCGTCAGTTGTCCCAGCAAAGTATCATTTTTTCCATTTTACGAGATGCAGACAGTCTGATATCAGTGACCTGGTCTGTAACTAGGTCTCTGGGGGCTCCCTGCCACTCTCAGCAGTCTTCCAGATGTTCGAGAGAAGAAGGACATATTCTGAGTGTCTGTTCTATTTCCTCCATTGGGCTGGGTGCTTTATTTTTTAATCATTGATTATACTTAATGCTTTATATAATCTGGCAAAGTAGGTTTTGTTATCCTCACTTTACCATTAGCAAAAGGAAGTGCAGAGAACCTAAGTAATTTGCTGTCGCAGGGCTAGAAAATGGCATCTGGGAGAGCTGGATTTGAACCCAGTGCTATTGAACTCCAGGGGACTGACTGACCCTCCCGTGCGCTGCAGCACTGCACAAGATGGGGCGCTGAGCGCTCACTGTGCAAGCTCGTCTCACTTTCAGATGAGCAGGACTAGTGCATTCCTGTTGGCAAAGCTGGGAGTGCAGCACGGCCATCCAGGTTGTTAGGCCAGACAGGTGAGGAAAAAGCACCTCTGAGCGCTAAGGTGAATCAGCTAAAGAAACCTGACCTTTGTCCAACCTTGCCGGCCTGGGATTTCTGAGCAAGTCCATCTGCTAGCTCTTTTTTTTTTAAAATGGCAACTCTTTTTTTTTTTTTTAAAGATTTATTTATTTGCTTATACAAGCACTGGGTACAGTCAGAAGTGCGGGAAGGTGAGAGAATTCACCAGAGCCAAAGCGGGGAGCAGAGCAGGCAGAAGGACCGAAGCACAGTGCTGAGGGGAGCAGCAGAGGGCAGGAGAGGTCTGTGCGCCATGTGGGACCCTCCTCTGGTGGGGAGCAGCCGGGGATCGAACCAGCACTGCAGAGGCTGCGGGCAGCTTCACAACCCAGCACTCAACCACTGCGCCACCAGGGAGGCCCCATCTGCTAGCTCTTTCTTTCTCCAGCTGCCCCTCGGGCGCCCTAGTCTGCAGCATCAGTGGGCGGAGAGCTGGTGGCTGTGGGTGGAGGTGGAGTGGGTGGGTGCTCCCACAAGGAGGATCCTCAGAAGGCCTCCCCCCACTGGAGCTGCTCCCCACACTCTGCATCCCTGCAGATGCCCCATGATTTAGCAGTGGGCCAGTGGTGATCCCACCTCCTGCCGCCTCTCCTGTGGCCAGAGGGTGAGTTGCCAGAGGTGACTGTGGCCTCTTCTCCTATGGGAGGAGCTCAGTGGCTTGGGGCTACTATAGGCTACTGCAGGGGTCCCCAGAAGAGGGGCATTTTTTGAGATTTGAGGGAGATTTTTGTCTTTAAGAGTAATCATTCCTGAGTATTTATGCAGCATTATACATCATTTTACTAAAATTTGTTTTTCTTTTTAGCTCTTCTATGTTATAGTTAGGATAATGAATGGATATTTTTTAAAAATTGAGAGACAGTAGTTATATTATCTATGAATTTCAGTTCAGGATAGAGGAAATTAAAATATGCATTTAAAAATGGGGATTGGTGCTCGCTTAGGCAGCACATATACTAAAATTGGAACGATACAGAGAAGATTAGCATGGCCCCTGTGCAAGGATGACACGCAAATTCGTGAAGCATTCCATATTTTTTAATCCAGTCAAAAAATGGACAGAAGAGCTAAAAAGAAACTTCTCTGAAGAGGAAATGCAAATGGCCAACACGCATATGAAAAAATGTTCAACATCACTTGTAATCAGGGAAATGCAAATCAAAACTACCATGAGATACCATCTTACACCAGTGAGAATGGCACATATTAAAAAAACTAGCAACAACATATGTTGGCGAGGATGTGGAGAAAAGGGAACTCTCCTGCACTATTGGTGGGAGTGCAAACTGGTCCAACCACCATGGAGAGCTGTGTGGAGATTTCTGGACCTACTAAACATAGAGCTTCCATATGATCCAGCAATTCCACTCCTAGGTATTTACCCAAAGGACACAGAAACATCAATTCCTAAGAACACCTGCACCTCTATGTTTATAGCAGCACTGTTTACAATAGCTAAGCTTTGGAAACCACCCAAATGTCCAAAAATAGATGACTGGATCAAGAAGATGTGGTACATATACACCATGGAATATTACTCAGCATTCAAAAAAGATAAACACATGCAATTTGCAGCAACATGGATGGTGCTGGAAGGGATCATGTTCAGCGAAATAAGCCAGAAAGAAAAAGAAAAATACCGGATGGTCTCACTCATAGCAGGAATATAGAAAACTTAAATAAGGGACCAGGAAAAAGAAAAACTATAAGAAAGTAAAAATCAAAATCAACAAACAACTATGAACCAGAGACACTCTATGGGGGGTGGGGGGCGGGGAAAGGAGGGATTGGGGTCAAAATAAGGGGGTCGCAATTGTATGGGGAATATAAAAATAAAATTTATATAAAAAAATGGGGATTGGTCTAATTGCCTGAGAGTCTCTGGCTGAGAAAGCCCAGACTCCCAGGGCCTCGACGTGGCACTGCCTGGCTGCTTTGGTACCCTGCACCCTCCAGAACACTTTCGCTCAATCCCCCCTCCGGGAGGTCGCAGGACACATGCTTTCCCACGCAGACTTCCTCTTCCAGGTGGTGTTTATTTTCATTTTTTAAGAATTATTTTATTTATTTATGTTCACAAGAGCTGGGGTATAGACCAGAGGTGTGGGGAATGGTGAGAGGATTCACCAGAGACAGAGTGGGGAACAGAACAGGCAGACTGACTGAAATGCACTGCTGAGGGGAGCAGCGGGCGAGTCAGGAGAGGTCTGCTGCTCCATGTGGGTAACTCCCTGGCCAGGGATGGAACTCGTGCTGCAGTGGCTACTGACACTGCTGATAGCTTCATGGTGTTGTCTAAACCCCTTGCACCACCAGAGAGGCCCCTCCAGGCAGTGTTTATAAATAAGGTTATGGGGACTCCAGTTTTGATCTTTGCACCTTGTGATGCCTGACCCCCTTGAAAGGAGATTCCAGCTTTACTGAGTGGCAGACTTGGCTCTTAGCCTGGCTCTGCAGCCCTGAACTCCCCGTGAAGTTTCCTGTTCCTACCCTGGCATTCCTGGAACTTGGCTTGTCAAATGTCCATCTCATCTCATAGGTCCCATGTGCTGGTGGTTGCAAGCTCAGTGTAGGTATTTCATTGGCACTTACAGTGCTTACTGTGCCCCACTGAGTACAAGCCAAATCCTAAGCCACTTTACTCCCGCCTAGGAGAAGCTCAGAACTCAAGTATATTAATAATCTTTCATCAGTGGTTTGCAACCTTTGTCCATCCAAGGCACAGAGGATGGCCACATTCCCAACAGTAGCTGTGGGTTCTCTGGGGAGGTGGAGGTTTGGTCCCAGTACCCCTCCTTTCCCTCCCAATTCACAGTTTCTACAGCTGGGTGGGAGTCCCTAGGTGACTGTTAGAGGTTAAGTCTCCATAACCGTCACTTTTTGTTTCTTGTAAGGTGGAGGCCAGAGAGCGCAAGGAGGACCAGGAGGGCTGCTTTGGGGCCGACTGAATCCTGGACGTGGGCTGGGATAGCTCCTCTTCTTGAGATATTTTTCAAATAGCAGGAAAAGCATGCAAGAGGACAAGGACAGCAGTATTCTAATCTTTGAAATGTAACAGATTTGGAGTCCAAAAATGCTTCTTTTAGGGAGGAGGAAAGACTATTGCTTTCATTCTAGAAGTCAGCCCACACAGCCTTTGAGTCATTTGCAAATGTAACGAGCAGAATGATTTTTCCCCAGTTCCTTGGAGCTGCATCACGTTCATGTCCAATTTTTAAATATTTCTGCTTAAAATATAGTATTCCTGTTCGCTTTTGTTTGCCAGTAGTGACAGTAATACCTGATTGGCGTCAGATGACTTTGTTCTGGGCCACAGTAAATGAGATAGCCCACACATCTTGGAACTGGTCACACACATGCAGTAAACACATAAAAAGCCACACTTGTGATTGAAAAATTTGAGTCTTTGTTTTGGAAGGAGCTGCTCTTCATGTTCATTGTTCTGGCGTCACTGATTTTTATTCACTCTTACAGTCGCCTTTTGTCTGTTGGTCTCATTGGCAGTAAGTAGAGACTTGGATGAATAGGTTCACATGTTGGAAGTGACAAAACAAACTCTTGAAGGGATAGGTCTGAGATACAGTTGACTAGTTTTATTTTCTGTGGGTAAACAAAGGAAACATTTGGAATATCTGAGCAAAAATAAGGGACAACAGTCCACGTGCTTAGAGGGTTCACAGTTTTTACATTTCCTGTGCATTTCAGAAGCTTCCAGATCTGATACTGAAAGGACCTTTCATTCTTCTTCCAGGGTTGGCTCTTGGGCCCACAGTCTGTGGGGACAGATTCTCCATGCAAGGACCAGGCCTCTGACCTTGTGTCTTTAAACACTAGATTTTTTTTCTTTTTAAAGATTTATTTATTTATGCATACAAGAACTGGGGTATAGGGCAGCAGTTTGGGGTGGGGAGGTGAGAGGATTCACCAGAGACAGAGTGGGGAACAGAACAGGCAGATTAACTGAAATACACTGCTGAGGGGAGCAGTGGGCAAGTCAGGAGAGGTCTGCTGCACCATGTAGGTTGCTCCCTGACTGGCTGTGAATAGCTTCACAGGTTGCGTTTTAAAACCCTTGCGCCACCAGGGAGGCCCTAAACACTAGATTCTTATTCAAGGGCTAGAGAGTAGTATTTTATCAGGAAAATTGTTCAGGTCCTAGGACCCATGCTTTTCTGGAAAGGTCCTGAAATAGAAAAATCAACCTTTAGAGTCAGCAAAAAGGCCTGGGGGACAAACAAACTGGCTAAAGAATCCTACGGGACCTGAGTGATCTGAGAGAGAAAAAGAGAGAGTGGGGGAGAAAGGGGGAGGAAGAAATAGAGCCTGCAAAGAAAGGAAGAAGGTGGCCAAAGGGCCTTTCCCCTGCTTTTCCTTCTGCTGGAAGCATTCCCTTGCCTCTGCTCCCCCAGTTAAACCTGTATCTTCCCCAACATCTTAGGGGGCCTCCCCACCTCCCGACAGACCACTTCCTTCTTTTGGCCCCTCTCCCACTGGTCTCTCTGTCTCAGGTCTTATCGTTACTTGTCATTACCACGTGTCTCCGCTGGCCTCTGGACTCCAAGGGATAATTTGGCTCCTCATGAAATCTCTGGCATCTACAAATTCTTGTATTTTTACTGAGTGAACCGTGACACTGGCTTGATCATTACTCTGGGCCTGCTAGTAGAACTGCAGGGGAGAATGTGGACAAAAGATATATTGCAAGACAAGAGGAAGTGGAAAAAAGCTATAAAGCTTTTTACTTACATCTCCTACCTAAATTCTGAGAAACTTATCTTGGGCAGGATAGGATGGGAGAAACTTATTTTAAAAATTAATCTATTTATGTATACAAGAACTGGGGTACAGGCTAGAGGTACAGGGGTGGGGGGCAGTGAGAGGATTCACCAGAGACAGAGTGGGGAGCAGAGCAGGCAGATCTACTAAAATACACTGCTGAGGGGTTAGTCAGGAGAGGTCTGCTGCGCCATGTGGGTAGCTCCCTGGCCGGGGATGGAACTCATGCTGCAGTGGCTGCAGATAGCTTCATAACCCCTTGTGCCACCAGGGAGGCCCGGATGGGAGAAACTTCTAACTGGGGATAGTAGGGGCATGTGACCAAATCCAACCTCTAAGTTGTGATCTTAGAGGAGAGGGTGTTCCGTGCCCTCTCCCCCAGCTGGAATGTGTTGTGGTCAGAGCCACCCTTGGCCATAAGGATGAGGCTACAGCCCAGGGATGGTGGGGCCATGAGGGAGATGTGGTCTGGATCTGGTATCACATTAACTCGGGACTGTTCTACTTGGACTGCTGCTGTGACAAAGACATCATTTCCACTTGGGGCTAGTTATAGTAGCAGACTCGAGATCCCCATTCTGGTATCCAGTCCTGAGCAGCCACAAACGAAGAGGACAGGGGCTTCTTTCTGGCTTAGTGGCCTTGTAATAAAAATGTGATCACGTCATCTCATTTGTACAAAGTACTTTGGCTATCACAGTGCTTGCTAAATTGCGAGCAGTCAAGGATTTCTTTACACCAGATTTCTTCTGTCCTCTTTCCATTCCTAGTTCTCATTTCTTCACTTTAAATACAGTAGTTAATAGCTCTGGACTTGGAGTCCCATAGCCCTGAATTTGAAATGTTCACCCTCCAATTTGCTCTGTCTCGAGCTCCACATCATAAGGCTGTCGTGAGGATGTAGTGAGAAAATATGCCTGAACTGTGACCAGCATAAGCACTAAATAGGAGTTTCCTATACTATATAATAGTCAGGATTTTTTTTTTTCCTTAGCAATTGATGAAATCCTAAATGCAAGAGACTTAAGAAAAGGGGGATTTATTGGTTTATATTATTGGAAAATCCAGGGCCCAGCTGGCTCCAGCTTTTAGCCTGTGGATTAATCCTGTCATTGGACCTCGATGCTTCCAGCTGGGGGAATTTTGGTGGAGGGTGAGTGAAGCATGTGCCCATATGGGAGTTGGACCAGCTGAAAATTTGTGAAAATTTGTGAAACATTAATTCAATATTGGTACCATTTTCTGTTTTTTTCTACACGGTTATAAGATGGTTGTTCCTAAACCCCAGATTTCCACGTTAACTTTTCAGCAACCCTACCAGGAAAATAATCTCTTTCCAGCAAAAGTTTGGGAAATGAATCCCACTGAGATTGACAGAGACATGAACCTCTCTTCCAGTCAATGCCGCTGGTCAGGCAGGAGAGGCCAGATTCTGGGTTCTGGTTGGCCAGGCCTGGGTCACGTACTCATGAGCGTGGTGTCCATTCCTCTTAAACCACAGCGGTGGGAAGAGGTGTTCTTAAGAAAAGTGGGGTACTTTTATCAGGAGGACTAATTGCAAGCAGGAAAAAACTGATGTCTTTATAGCACAAGAATCTGGCACCTAGTGGTGAGCGTGGACTTCTGATCTCATTTGTCTTCTGGCTCAAGGTCACTGCACAGTGATGGGGGTATGACCCTCCTTGCTCGTCTTCCTTTAAAACTCACTTTACACTCTTTTCCTCTAAGCCGTCCCTAAACAACATTAGAATTGATTTCTCCATTTTGAGTTTCTAAAATCTTCTTTCCCAGTGATTAAGGGCCTGCCTTCTCTCTTCCCTCCAGCTTCGTTTCTAGGAACAGCTATTTACTAAGCCAAGAAGGTTATTGAGAAGCGTAGAGAGCTCTAGAATTAGAGCGCAGCTTCTGCAATGATTGCCACTCCCACATCTTTTTATGTCCTGAAGTTGCTATTTAGCCTAATAAGGTTGTTTTAGTTCTCAGGGTACTAACATTCTGTAAGACATCCTGTAAAGAAGTGGCAATAAAGAAAATAAAGCAGGGCCTTCCTGGTGATGCAAGGGGTTAAGCACCACACTATGAAGCAATCTGCAGCTTCTGCAGCAGGAATTTGATCCCTGGCCGGCCAGGGAGAAACCCACATGGTGAGGCAGACCTCTCCTGTCTCGCCTGCTACTCCCCTCAGCAGTGTATTTCAGTCAGTCTGCCTGTTCTGTTCCCCGCTCTGTCTCTGGTGGATCCTCTCACCCCCTCATCTCCGGCCTGTACCCCGGCTCTTGTATGCATAAATAAATAAATCTTAAAAAAAAAATAAAGCAGCTTTTTTGGGGAATTGAGCTGTAATATTAAGACAGCGGTCCTGAGGAGAGACAAGTAAAATCACCATAAAGAGACAATGATTTCTAGGCCTCGGTGAGTGGTGGAAAGGGCAAAAATGAATCATAGAAGACAACAGAAAGGTAAAGACACAGAGGATGATAGTGCAGGACCAATCCTGAAGACCCAGTCAATAGAGGTAACGGATGTCTGAAGTCTGACGTAAGGACATTCCTAACATGGACTTGCTTTAGACTCTTAATCTGGTGATTTGAATAAATATTCCACCTCAAAGCTCCATTTTCAGGTTTTGTGATCTTTAAATAGCAGCTTGGGCATTACTTGGTTTTGCAGAGAAAGTAGTAGAGGAAAGGGGTGGCTGTATGAATTACTGCATTTTGGCTGTGGTGACAATCTATTTCTTTTTGAAAGTAAGCCTGTTATCATTATGAATTTATAGCTCAATTTTATGAACTTAGTTATTATAAATCTGACCTAGAAAGATAGATCTGTTTCCCTCACAACGAAAACATGCAGTATTGGGTGAGGCTGATGGTCAGACCCTTGGCCAAGTGAGTTCCCCAGGGTGATGAATGCTCCCTGGGAGGGCTTGTGAGCAGCCTGTCCACGTTTCCCTGGAAAACCCCCGATTCCTGGGTCAACCCATCATCACTGTTTTCTAGCATAAATAAGGTAAATGAACAAGCAGGAATGAACAAAATTTATAGGTTTTTAATGATAGTATTTAAATATTAAGAAAGTTAAAACTGAAAATATGTTGAGTAGATTTTTCTGTACACTATATTTACATTATGATTCTGATATAGCTTTCTAAGAGTAGTTACCCAGGAGGAAGGAAAAATGACCTGTAGTCGTCAGTGGGGCTCACATGGCTCCTCAGGACGGTGTCCTCTAGTAGAGCAAAGAATTTAAGTGCAGAAGCAAGTATCCCTTCCACTCCTCTCCTCTGCTCGCTTCTGTTTTCATTTGGAGCATTTCTGAATTACAAATGCAAAATTAAGTTTGGATATAAAAAACTAGATAACCATACCAATTCAGAATTGTGTTTCAGTAGAGGAGACTTGGCACAGAAATGACGGGCATTATGCCTCATTTACAAGGATGCTGTGATGAAAGTAATTTGCAACATCTGAGCAAGGGCATATCTAGTATATACGAGTCTATAAAATGAGGGGATTTGACCAGATGGTCTGTCACACCGCATCTAGCCAGGAAGGCCCATTGTTAAGCTCAAATCTTCCATGCTGGCAGGACTTGCCATCTCTGCTAAGGTGGATGCAGAAAAGCAAATCTATCATATTCTAGACCACCCTTCTGATAAAAAAGTAATTATGGAGGGAATAAAGTAATCAAAAAAGTACAAATTTTTACCATACCTGTGGCAAATTTACGCATGCTGCCAAACTGGCAAGTTAATAGCTTTAAATAAACCAGACTTTCTGGTGGTGATTTAAAATGTGAGAGTAAGAAACTGGAGAGAGAAAGAATAACTTTCTAAGTCTTGAGAGCTCATAATCTGCCTCCATGATGCCTCTCCATTATATAGGTTTTCCAGGTCACCTGGACAAAGCTATGCCTTGTCTCATGGAGGTTAAGAAACACCTTTTCTTTAAAAAAAAAAAAATTTTTTTTCAAGACATTATGACTCAAGGATTGGAAACCCCAGTGTTACGGGCAAAGCCTCATTTTTACGGAATATAAAGCATTCTGTTTCTTCCACTTCTAACAGCTCATTAAGAGAAGCCACCACCAGGTCATGCTCTTGCAGCATTTCTGGATAGCGGGACACTGCTCGCTCGATCCTCGCAGAACGTCGCACAGGAGTGATAAGCTTCATGTCTTGCACTTCCGGCATCCCATTAATTCTGAGAGACAGCAAGAGAGGCATTCAGAACCTGACAAATTCTTTGGAAATTCTATTTATTATTCTTTCTGTTCTCTTATCCCATAATAAAACGTAATGGATGTTTCAATATAGGTTGATGTATGAGATATGTCTAGAGCAGCTATCATCCTGAGGTGGCTTTTCCCCGACTGTCACAACAAACTAGGTGGTGTCCATCTGCTCACAGAGGGATTTATGGAATTAAGCCGAAATTATGATTTTTACTTGAAGTAAACTACTTGGCAGTTGGTGTTTGTTTATTCCATAAGCTTTCAAAAGAGCTGACAGGTTTTGAGGAAATTGGACCAGTGCCAAATGGGGTTGGCCTAATGAATTCTAAAACTCTTTCCAGCTCTTATAATACATTATTTAAAAAATGCCTTTTAAGATGGTGGACCAAACCATAAATTGAAACTGGAACAAGTTGGGCATCTTCCTGGTGAATCTGAATGTATTCCAATAAAAAGTAGCCTAGAAATTAGGTTGCAGAGACGTTTCCAAGTGGTGAATCTGATCGACACCTCACAAAACCGTTCATTATATTAGCCCAAGCAAAAGTAGCAGATCAGTCAGTTGTAAACTCTTAGGATAAATTCTAGAACCAGCAAAAGGTGGTTATCAATCAATTTCTCATTTTCTTCCATCTGTGAGCAGATTGACATGTCTGAGAAGAGGTCAGGACTGGAAAAGGCTTAGTTGTGCTTTTCAGGGAACTAAAATATAGACCTGTGATCCTGATATTTTGTTTGGAATTCTTTCAAGATCACTGATACTTTAGAAAAGTAGGACATTTTTCAAGACATTATGACTCAAGGATTGGAAACCCCAGTGTTACGGGCAAAGCCTCATTTTTACGGAATATAAAGCATTCTGTTTCTTCCACTTCTAACAGCTCATTAAGAGAAGCCACTACAGTTCCTTAAATTGCTATGGATTATGCCTTAAATGTTGACTTGCGAAAAAACAAATATTTGATATTATGAACAGCCTCAAACTGTTCATGTGTACCCAAATGCCATCCCTATTCTCCTAGACCTTTCACTGCCCATTCTCACTCATAGCTACAAAGGCCACCCTGCTTGGCACTTTGTGCCATGCCTCCTCCTCCCACTCTTTCCTGCCAGGGTTGGTAGGAAAGGTAGGTGGAATCAGCGAGTACAGGACAACTGAGGGTGAAGAAATAGGAGTGAATTCAGCTGGGAGGGGGCAAAGCCATTCCTACACTGCTGACTCAGCTGGACCTTCCTCACTACAGGTCAGGGCTTGGGGTATGGGGAGGGGATGGCTGTGTGCAGAGAAAGGACACGGATCTCCCTGCCAATGGTTTCAACCCTCCCCTCACCCTCAGTTCCTTCCCTTAATGCTAAAGACAGACTGCCGGGCCCTCATGTGAGGCAGATGTATGAACATACTGTGAATACTCTGGATCTGTGGAGGAGAAAAGGAGAAGTGGATTTGAATTAGACTTGTGAATACAAAACCCGCTTTAGCGTTTACTTACCTAGGGATTTGGGCAACCTGTAATTTGATGCCAGCATGATTATCTTGTTCTCCCTTGGTTATTTGGGGTGCTGCTGTAACCTCCTCCCTTTCTTTTTGAGAAAGACAACATTTTCCAGATTCCATCTTCTTGGCCAGCTCTTCTGTTAAAGTTATATTAGTATCAGCAACTAAGGAATTAGAGGTAATTCCTGTGTGTGCAAGGTCAAGAAGGAAAGTAAGATATAATAATCTAATACTTAAGATAAACATGATAAAAATGAACAGGTATATACAGAATGATTCTCCAGTGATCCTCATGAACTCCATATACTAAGCAAAGGGAAATTGATTTGAGTTGGAACGTGTAACTAGTTTTTTCAGGTAAGCCCTGTAAAAGTGTCCTGCTATATGAGGTCATCCTTTTAATCAGCCCCTGGAACATCTTTGGGCCTCTATGCTGCTAGGGGATGAGTCCTTGATGCCCTTTCAACATTCTGCACACCTTCCCCAATCCCTTATTCACTCTTGAGAGAGCTCCTTTAGGGACCAATCACTGACCTTTTACTCTTACACCATATCATGGATCAATTTTCTTGACTCACTAGGGTTAACTCACTTGGCCTTTTTAATTCCCTCACTACCTACGGATGTCCACATGGCTATCACCTTGGACATGGATAAAAAATGTCTTGTATTAGCACAATTTGCATGATAGCCCAACCAAAACAATTAAAATGAAAGGAAGGAAATTAGATTGAGACAGGCAGGTACTGTAGTTGGAGGGTAGGACTCCAAGAGAGGTCAGCAGGCATGAAAAAACAGTTAAGGAAAATGTCTCCTCATTTCATCCCTTTGAGGAATACTGCCAGATATTATTAGTATATGAATTGTAGCATCATTCCCAGTAACAGTACCACTGAATACATCTAATATATGCCCTAACTCCCAAAAGTAATGGGTTAATTAGCTGTAATGCCACATGACTTGAACATTAAATCTATACTTAAAGGGATAAGATTTGTCATCTTCTAAGATCATAAAAACAACCCACTTTGTTTTCTAACGGTATGTCCCCCCCAATTCATATAAAAGATATTAGAAGCAATAATAATGTGCCACTCACTGTAGTTGGCACAGTATTCTCAGAGAAGAGGCCTCTACAGGTTATGACCAATGACAGACCAATGATAGTTAACTAAGTGAAAAGATTCCCGAGATGGTTATTTTAAAGAGGATAACATGAATTTGGATGTATAAGTGTTGGTGGATTTGTTATGATTAAACATGGAACTTAAACTGAACCATGTCTCCCTTTCGCCTTGATCTTTTCTGGTAAAGAGTCACTTGTCTTCTGCCACCTAGGCCTCCGGGGAAGCAAGACACTCTAGTCTAGGCTGCTCTGGTGAAAACCACCTTTGTCAATGTTGAGCAGTATATGTACTTGTAGAGAAAATCAGCTGCTGCTAATGGCTGAAAGGGTCAGTGCAAAGAAACTTAAGAAGTGAGAGGGAATCTGATAATTCTTTTCTTTTTTCCCTATGTGTTGATTTTCACTTGTGTGGTTAGAGGAATGGATTTAAATACAAAAGTAAAAGTACCTCCTGTGGGTCTGTCTGGGTCTTGCAAAACATTAAGAACAAATTCCCGTAACTCTTGTATTGGCTAGAAGGAAGGAAAAAAATAGATGAACAGCATTGAAAAATTCATGGAAAAATGATCTAACGAACTTTGTTTAACATCAAGTGAACTTATTTTTATAATAAGAATGTTTCCTTTTTTTAACCTTTTATTAAAATAATATTTAAAAGGTTTCAGATGTATAGTTAAATGGAAAACAGAAAGAAACAAAGAAATGTATATTAACTGTTGGCATGCTTGACATTAATGAAAAGATGTGTTTATGGAAAACTTTCCATGATGGAGCTTCTCTAAATCAAATTAATTTTCTTATTAACTAATTATGATTCCATCAAAAATGTGTTCCCTTATAATGAGTCTGGCCCAAAGATGTAAGACTAGCCAAAGAGAAAATGTAGCATACATTTTAGTAATGCTTTCTTTAATATTTATTTTTCTCATAAACATAAACGTCATCACAGAAAAATTGAATAATAGGCCAAACTTTAAAAAGAAAATGACCTGTAATCTAATCAGTCAAATACAACCTTTAGTTGGTGCGTTAGGGTAATACTCCACAGCCTTTCCTTCCTTTCTAATTTTATTTGGCAACATAATAAAAAAAACATAACATTAAAAAAACTGTTATAGAAAAGTTATTTTCTGAAAAAATTATTTGAGATAGCTTTCCTTTTCTAAAGTATACAAACTATACCACAAAGCAGAACATCATAAATGAATAGTATTTGGAGATTGATCTTTCAGGCCTGGGCTACTGTATCAAATAGACAGTAGTATCAAAAAAAAAAATCCCAAAGCTATTTATATATTTTTATAAAATAAAAAAATGTTTTATGCTTAAGGAAATGGGAATAAATGTACAGAATACATTGCTAAAAGTTAATTACATGAAACATTCATCAAACATATCTTACATTTTTACAGGCTTCTAGTTAAAGATGATGGCTTGAATACACATTTATTTCTAATCTCTCTTGAAACCCTACTGAAATGATAATAAAGTGATTAGAAGGAGGAAATAACGATAAAGGACAGAAGTATCAATAAGATTTTAGAAGCTAGAGTGTGTAAGGAAGAGGAAACTGACTTAACCAATTCAATTTGAATCAAATTTTAAGCTGGCAGTGTGTTCACAAAAACAACCTGCTTTGACTTCAGGGTCTCTGAAAGGTTCAGGAATGGATGCAGGGTCAAAATCAGGAGGATCATCTTGAGCATCTGTTCAAAAAGTAGCCAGACCTCCAAATTCATGTTGCATATGTGAACTTCATGTAGCTGTGACTGTACCCCTTTACCCTTCATCGTAATAGAAAACTGGGGATGTATTCTCCAAGACCTGGGGGATGTCATGCAAGATTGAGAGACTTGGGGACCTACTGAAAAAGAGGCTACCAGAAAGTTTCCATTCTGATGGTTGAGACTTCTAGCTCTCTTTTCCTTGACACCTTTGGCAATCTGGTTTCTAGTCCCAAGAAGGCGATTATAAGAGCCTTTTCTAGAGAATATGCGGTCTAAAAGGAAAGATGTGCAGATACTGATATTGAGCGTTCTTCAATCAATTCTGCCAGACGACCCTATGGTTACAACCCCCTCTATGTATCTGGAGTTTTCAAAACCCACTTTGATATATCAAATGGCCCAATTTCACCAGCATGTAAATAAAGCCTTTAATGAACAAGAGAACAAAACAAAATGAGAGGGAAGGAGACACACAGACAACGCAAGAAGCAGACTATGGCTCTAGGAAACAAGCTATCCACTCATGCCAAGAAAGGTATAAAGGGAAACTGAGATCCCAGAGTGGCAGCCCATAGGGAAGGGGGTGAAGCGTAACCTACTGCTCCTAGAACAGGTCAGAAGAACATGTAGTGGGAGAACAGATCTCTAAGAGAACAACAGACTGATGTTTTGAAAGAATTGAAAAATTTAGACAATTGGAGAATAGGTTAGAAATTAATTCTATAATAAATACTCAGAAAACTAGCAAAGAAAAATGAGACAGTATTTAATTTCAGAAGTAGAAAGTTGAGTTTGAAAGACAAAGTAATAATAGCACATACTACAGGGTTCAATATATTCATAAACTTCTTAAATAAGCATAACAATGTAAACACTCAACAGTGACCAGTGTTCAATCACTGTTTGAAGGAAGTTTGAAGGACTGCAAAAATCTGCCACGGCGATAGGGGTGTATATGTATATTTTTATTGGGATCTGTGAAAGAGGTTAAATTCTCATCCTACAGAGTTGAGAACGCCATAAATCATGTCTAAAACTGAAAAACCAAGAAACACCAATATGAGCATACTCTCTGAAACTATAGAGGAATGTCTAAAAATGGTCATTTTGCTCTGGGAAGTAGAAAATGGGAGGGGAAGGAAGCAGAGGCCTTAACGAATGAACCGTATGGAGCTATTTATTAACTGTGGTCACCTACAACTCTGATTTTCAACAACTATGGAAAAAGTTACTGTCGAACACATGATGGCATGGAAAGTGGTGTTTAAGTGAAAAGAGTTATAAAACGAAGTAACTTTGTTAAAGAATTATATAGCTAGTGGTTTTACTGAGTTTTAGAATTACGAGTTATTTTACACAAAGGCTCTGAATTACTGATTTATGAATATATATGAACTACTGATTTATGAATGTGCTCGGTTTAATATATTTTTAGGTTCTTTATGGTGCGGTATGACTTTATAAAATGAATTAGAAGTGTAACATTACATTATATAACTGTCATATAGCAAAAAGCAGAGAACTCATATGAATCAGAATTTGCAAGAAATCACCCACCTAAGATAGATACTTACTGTTGCCCCATTTTTAATGGCTTCTTCATAGAGTCCAATAACATCAAAGGAGCCTTTACTTGCTAACAACTTTGCTTTGCAGATCCAGAATTTAGCAAATTTTTCAGCCTCAGGAATACTGGACAATACAGTAAATATTTCATTAGAAAGTACACCCTGGGGAAAAAAGAAAATACCCAAAGGTAATTATTATTATCTCACTGTTATTCACACATCTCCTATTAATCAAAGCAGATATGTGGAAATAAGTCTGATCAATAAACTTTAACTTCTAAATATTTCAGTTTTATTGGGGTACAGTTTACATAGAATGCAGCCATTTAAAAAGTACATTTCAAAGAGTTTTGACAATCATCATTATTAAATTTTCAGTGTTATATGAGACAAATAGAAAAATGTCATAGCTAAAGGAAAGGAACATGTTCTACATTTTCATATGGTAGGAAACTAAAACCATAATGAAACCAAAACAAATCCTAGAGTAATCAACATTCACATATTTTTTACATATTCATCATGATATGAACACTGAATGGCGACAAGAATTTCTAAATAACTTTAGAAGTATGAAGGTTAGTGTAGGGTAAATGGTTTTCAGGCTTTTCTGCCCTCCCACCATTAGGATTGCTCTGCCTGATGGGGCACCTGTTGTAAGCTGTGTTGCTTACTTCTGTGGGCCATGGCTCAGTATTGAGATATTCCCCAAGAGACTCAGAGGCAGGAGAGAGGCAGAAGAGAGAAGGGGAGAAAGAACTCCAGAGAAGCCCAGAATGAAGACTTGCCGGGGGCTTGGAAGCCTGCTGGCCTCCTGGCCCCCTGACACCCTTGCCTGCCGTGTACCTGGTTGCTGCACCTCATGTAAAGCTCAGTAAAAACCTGAGAAAGCCACCGAGGGCTCCAGGACTCTCCTTTACCCGTCTGGTCTGCCAGATGATAGAAAACCTGCTCTCTGGCCATTCCTGCCACTACAGTAAGTAAGGGCCACAGGGGTATATATGCGTGTGTACTGAGGATATGAGCAGGTGTATGTAAAGAGGGTTAAATCCTACTAAAAGGAACTTTGAAAAAGTTTCATTGTTTTTACACAGAACAGAGCAGTGACATGAACCCAGAGGAATATGGGTGAATAAGGGAACCATGTTCACAAATCCAGGTACTGGCACATTCAGCCAAACAGCACCTCGTTTTCCTCCTAAGATGGGGTAGACACAAATGTTTGGGAATCACCAATGTTTGAGGAAACCAACGCTATAAGAAAGAGACTGAAACTTCAACAACCAGAAGAATGAACCGTGGAGTAAACAGTAGAGGTAATAAATGTAAGAATATGACATTCATATTGCTATCATAAATCTGAAATGGGTTGATACAGAAAAGGATCAACAGAAGGGCAGAATATGGCATGGACAACGGCTGAAGAATAAGTCAGTGAGCTGAATATTTGATGTGGAATTCTCCCAGAACCAGTGCAAAGGAACAAATGAAGAATATGAAAGAAAAGTTAAGAGTTCTAGAGGATACATCTATTATTTAGGAATTCCAATTCCAATATTCATCTCAGAGAATTTCCAGAAGGAAAAATAGAGAAAGAACAAAGTTGAATACTCATTCAAGACAGTTGTTTAGGGAAGAAAATTTCCAAGAATTAAATGAAAAATCTGTTTAGGGGCCTCCCTGGTGGTGGAGGGGTTAAAGTCTCAGCATTATCAAGCTATCGCCAGCCACTACTGCATGAGTTTGATCTCCAGCCAGGGAGCTAACCCACATGGTGCAGCAGACCTCTCCTGTCTCGTCCCCTGCTCCCCTCAGTAGTGTATTTCAGTCAACCTGCCTATTCTGCTCCCCACTCTGTCTCTGGTGAATCCTCTCGCCCCTCCTCCCCCTGCACCTCTGGCCTCAGTTCCCTGCACCTCTGAACCCCAGTTCTTGTATGCATAAATAATTAAAAATAAATCTTAAAAAAAAGTTACATGGAAGAATATTATATGTAACTTGTACACCACCTACTTTAGCCTTATCTGCAGAAACCAAGATGCAATTTTGATGTCATTTATAGCTAATAATTCAACTATATACATGATCTAGCCTTTTGTCTTTTGACTTCAGTTTCATTGACAAAATGTCAGATTTGGACCTTGATACATGAAGAAGGTAAAATTCCTTTTGGATTCCTCTAGAGCCAAACTGTTTGAGTTAGTTTCCCAACTTCTCTGTGCCTCAATTCCACTTGTAAAGTGGGCACAGAAATAGTTATTATGGGGCCTCCCCTGGTGGCGCACCGGTTGAGCACTGGGTTGTGAGGCTGCCCGCAGCCTCCGCAGCCTCCGCAGCCTCTGCAGTGCCAGTTCGATCCCCGGCCACCGGCGAGGATCCGACAAAAAAAAAAGTCATGATTAATTGTATGTATGATTAATTACATGACATGTAAGTAAAGTGCTTAAAAACAGTGCCTGGTATATAAGAGCTATTATTTAAGTTGGTGTCATTATTATTGTTATTCTTTTCCTGTATTAAAATTCAGGAGCTAAATTTCTGCTTAGACAGAAGTTATATCTCCTACACAGTATTTAAGTATGAAATTCAGTATTAAAGCTTTGGGAACACATTCACTTCACTTACCCTTTCAATGAGATGCAGACATTCTGTCAGAGTGTTGTTAATTTTATTGGAGAGTTCAAGTTGTGCTTTCTTTTCTTCCTCCTCTTTTTCCATGCTCTTCCAGAATGAAATATTCATTTCTTCTATTATTTTTCTTTTTGTTTTAAGTTCCATAGGTGGTCGTTTATAGATTTTCCCCTTAGATTTCTTCCATTCTTCCAGTTGTTTCCTTGTATGCAAATAAAGGGGTGGAATGGTTTTAGGACTTTTTGGGTACATAGTCAAGCTTCTAAAGTATATGAATATGTATAGATTGACTATCATTAAACACCCTCAACTGTAGACAAAGTCAGGAAAATGGAATGCAAAACAATTAGCAAATGGGTAATGGAAGCTGATTGCCGGGACCTCCAGAAGGCAGATGACAGAGGGATTGCTGGCATTAAAGGTGGTTAGCATCTCAGTCTGTAAAATCCTCGACTTCATATTTATTCTTCTTTACCTCTGAAAATTTTCATTTTACCTGTATGACACCTCTGACACTGGCTTCCTTAAGATATCACTCTGTTTCTGAGATCACTAACTCACCATTCCATAGCTCTCACTATACATTTTCCATCTGCCAACTAGAGCTGACTCACCAAACCTGCATTCTGCCTTCAATAGGGTCTTGGCTATTCAAAGTGACCCACTTTGCTCAGTTGTTTGGCTTCTCCTAGCCACATATGACTCCCTTTTCCATAAACAATGGATGCTTTTAGGATTCTCTGATGGTGCCAGGTCCTAATACTTCCTTTTCCTGACTGTTCACATTTTCCAATCTTGCATCTAATAGTTGATAGACTACTGTTGGAAGAGGTACCAAGACATGCAGTCCCAAGTGATTAGATGTAGGCATTCTAGCTTCTTTAAACTATAACTAAAATGTACATTTCAGTTTCAGATCTCTTCCTTGAGCCTCAAAATTTGTAAAATCCATGGCTTAGTTGAGATCTTTTCTTTGATGTCTAGCAGGCATTTCAAATTTAAATTGTTTGAAACAAAGCTCTTGATTTTCATTTTCAAATCTGTTCCCCAGAAGCCTTCTCTATATTGGTAAATAGGATCCAGATCTACCCAGTTACGAAGGCCTAAAAGTAGGAACTGTCTTTGAATAGTACTTTTCTTTCCTCTACATCTGACATGTCACTGAACAGACAGTACTGCTTCTGTCTCTACTACCACTATCCTCGTCCACACACTGCCACCCACTGCCGGAAACGCTGCAGCAGTCCTCTAACTCATCTCCTAGCACCCACCCCACCCCTTAGTAAATTCATCCTGTGTACAATAGCTGGAGTGATCTTGTAAGTATAAACCAGATTGAGTTACTGCCAGGAACTTCCCAGGCTGACAGAATAACATTAAAAATGTTTTCCAAGGTTGAAAGGCATATTGTAATTTGACTCCAACCTACCTCTCTGACCTCAATTCATAACACTCTTCCTCTCACCACTCCTTAGGAGCTGCCTTCAGTACCTTTATCCAAGCATTCCTGCCTCAGGGGCTTATGATCAGTGTTCAGCCCTCCCCTCAAGTAACACCTCCTTGAAGAGGTAATTACTTGTTATTATCCTGTCTTATATATCAATGTGTTGATATGGCTGAATGTAGCCATATTTCATCCTATAATGCCTTTTACTACCATCCTGCTATACCTTTCACCCTTGTCAGGAGACTCCTTATCTTTTACTCCAACAAAGAGTACAAATTCACTACATTATGAGACTATGGCTGGCCCTATGCAGAAAGTGTACAAAATCTTTTAAGTCAGTTTTAAGCATATTAACATTAATAATGAGCAACTCGAGGTTCTAATTTCTAATTTCTGAACTCTGTATTTGAGCTGATTGTTCCTTTGTCTTGGCTTACTTTCCAAAACTTGGCTTCATGTTAAGTTTCATGATCCTTCTTCCATGATAACGTTTCTAGATTAACCACTGGTCTGCTTGACAAGAGATGGCAATCTTCCTACTTTCTAACTTTGTACACTCACTATTCCTCCCACTTGCCCACTTTTATTGCTGTTCAGTCCCTTGAGGGTACTTTTTAAGTAATTAGTCTATATCTATAAACCTTATTTCTTTTTTTTCCTCTCAAAACATGTTTTATTTTTTAAAAATAATATTTTTTTTATATCACTGTTCATTTTCAAACAATATTTGCTCCTCCCGCCGCCCCCCCCACCTCAGGTGTAGTCCCTATAGAATTTCCTTCACTAATGTACCTGTGCACCATCACCATGTCCCCTGTGCTCCTCCCTCCCTCCCTTGGATCCCTCCTTCCTCCTCCCCTACAGGATGTCTCTGGTTTATAATTGTTGTTTTTGTTTTGTTGTGTTTTGTATTATTATTTTTTTACACTGGTGTCTTACTGGGTTCCCCTATATTCCTGCTGTAAGTGAGACCATCTGCTATTTTTCTTTTTCCTTCTGACTTATTTCACTGAGCATGATTCCTTCTAGCTCCATCCACGTTGCTGCGAATGGCATGAGTATAAACCTTAATTCAAAAATTCTATGCTTCATTTGCAGCAACATGGATGGCACTGGAAGGGATCATGCTCAGCGAAATAAGCCAAAAAGAAAAAGAAAAATACCGGATGGTCTCACTCATAGCAGGAATCTAGAAAACTTAAATAAGGGACCAGGAAAATGAATATAAGAAAGTGAAAATCAAAATCAACAAAAAACTATGAACCAGAGACACTTTTTGGGGGGTGGGGGGCGGGAGGGGAAGGATTGGGGTCAGAATGGGGCGTTTGCAATTGTATGGGGGAATATAAAAATAAAATTTAATATTTAAAAAAAAAAAAAAAAGTGAAAAAAAAAAAAAAGTTTCACTTTATGTACTCCTGGACATAGTAGAAAGACTCTCCAGTTAAAAAAAAAAAAAACTATTTAAAATTGCATAACTTCAAGACTGGCAGGCCTAATAAGTAGAATAAACTGGAATTATGCTGTTTCTACATGCTACATGCCACTTTAGCATCAATAATCTCTCTTGTTTATCAATGTCCCATAAACAATAGCATGATTTCAATGTAAATGAAGCTTTACCAGTGATAGAATATTTAATAAGTTTTTTTTTTCTGGGAAAAAAAAAAAAATTCTATGCTTCAGTTTCTTAAAAAAGTTATCTCTAGCATACAGAAAATGAGAGAATGATTTTTAACACATGTGTATCAGTTAGCACTGTCATGTCTTGATATTTTTGCATTTGCTTTAAATGTTTTAAGGGTTAGAGCTAAAATTTACTCAGGAGCCATTATTTATGACCTACTTCCTGACTGTGATGGTCAATCTGGCACATTATTCTAAATTGTAAATTTTTGGAATTAAAGTAAATTACCTGCGATCCTCTGCTGTGGTCTTCTTTTTAATATTTGTATTAGCTTGGGTCCCATTTGGGAGTCTCCTTCCATATATGGTTGTGTTACCAGCTTGAGTTTTTGGAGCTGTCTTGCTCAAAAAACAGTTTCGGGGAAGAGTTTTTTTCAATTTGGAGTCCAAAGTCCGTGCTTTTTGTTGATAGCTGTTATTGTTTTTATTCCCATTGGTTCCACTTGCTCTTATGCTAGGGGTGCTTGGAAAGATTGAATGAAAGTTGCCAACTGTCAATTCAGGCTTTTGGCTCATGGCTTTTGATTTTTGCAGTACACATGATGTCTGAGATTTAAAACAAGGTTGTGTGGACTTCTGATCTTGCTTACTGTTAGAATGTCTGTTGTTAAATCCTTCCCGAAGCAGACTGGGGTGTGTCCTGGGTTTGGTATGTCTTACTTTCTGTTCGGTAACAGTGTATGACCTCAACTTAGTTTCATTCGTACTTTCATATTTACTCCTATTAATCTTTGTATTCTTTATGTCCTTGACTACTGGTTTCTTTGATGCTCGAGTTCTAGTAATAGTTTGAACAAAGTGAGAGGGAACTACCTTTGTGGGTTTTTCTCTTGGTCTGATAAGATCTGCTTCTCTAGAGAATTGCTGTGACTTTATTGGTGGAACCCTGATCTGTGTTTCCCCAACAAATTGTTTATTAACTCTGTCTTTTAGAACAGCACTATTCATTGAATTTCTGCTCAAGGCTTGTTTAGGATGCAAATTGTTCTTGGCTGGATTGTAAGAGTCAGTTTTTGACTTATTTATGGCCCATAATTCAGGATTTGGCTTCCTCTCAGAATCTAATAAAGTTTGGGGCAAGTTCTCTTTGGTCATCTCTTTCAGAAAGCTATCGGAGGATTTATTTTCAACATGGGTATTGTCCGCAGAGTCTGTGAATTTAGCATTTCCTTGATCTGTTATCTGTTGCTTTATAGTTTTAAATTCTGTTATACTAAGTGATCCCATGGTTTTCCTTGACCGTTGTCCACTCGTGGATGATCCAGCTTCATGCTGCTGTTGATTGCTGCTAGAAAGCTTACAGTTAGGATTAGAAGAAACACATCCTAAAGTCAGCCTTTTGCCCACAGGTTTTGGTGGTTCCAACTTTGGCTTCTGGGACTCTGTAATATTGGAAGGTCTGGGCTGATGTTTAGTGTTGAAAGGTCTTGCAGCTTTGACAGGCAAAGCAACATGGTTGGTAACATTCTTTTTGGGTCCAAAAGCCTGAAAAAGACAAAGAAAAAAATTCATAACAATATCTCATTGCTCTTAAAATAATAAGGCAAATAATGTGTTTTAAAACATGCTAGAAAAAGTTATTTAAAAATTTCACTGAAAAAAGTTGAATCCTGAGAAAATAAAGTTTCACTAACAGATGATTTTTTATAACTTGAATTGCTTTCAGAAATATTTCAGTCTTTTTATTTGATAGAATTAAGCAGAGATGCAGTGAATATACAAATATTGCTCTTTTAAAAAATAAATTTGCCTCAGTTGAACAATACTTGCTGAAGGCACATTGTGTCCCAATGAAAGATCATTCTAGGGACTCTGGAAAAATACACACATAATAATGTATTATAACTTAATAATTACGTTAGGGCACCTCCCAACAACACAGCTTCTTCTAGTATTTTGTACTGCTACTTTTTTTTTTTTTTTTTTAAGAAAACAATACTCCCTTTGTAAAGGTCACAATGTCAATCAAAAACTTTGTGTGAGGGGCCTCCCTGGTGGCAGATGGGATTAAGATGTAACCTATGAAGCTGTGTGCAGCCACTGCAGCATGAGTTCAATTCCCCAGCCGGCCAGGGAGGTGACCCACATGACTCGCTGCTGCTCCCCTCAGCAGTGTATTTCAGTCAGTCTGCCTGTTCTGTTCCCCACTCTGTCTCTGGTGAATCCACTCACCCTCTGCATCTCTGGCCTGTACCCCAGTTCTTGTATGCATAAATAAATCTTTAAAAAAAAAAAAAAAGAAACTTTGTGTCAAAAATAGGCAAAAAAGCTAAATAGACATTTCTCTCCAAAGAAGACACACAGATGGCCAACAGGCACGTGAAAAAATGCTCATCATCATTTATCATCAGGGAAATAAAAATCAAATTCACAATGAGATACCATCTCACACCTGTGAGAATGGTCCATATCAAAAAGGCCAGAAACAACCGGGATTGGTGAGGCTGTGGAGAAAAAAGAAGCCTTCTGCACCGTTGGTGGGAGTGTAGATTGGAAAATATCCCTATGGAAAATAGTGTGAAGGTTTCTCAAAATATTAAAATAGAAGCACATATAACTTAGCAATTCCACTCCTAGGTATCTACCAGGAATCAAATTAGTAATTTAAAGGAATATATACATTCTTATGTTTGTTGCAGCCCTATTTCAATAGTCAGACATGGAGCCTCCCTGGTGACACAAGGGTTAAAGTCTCAGCACTATCAAGCTATCACCAGCCATTTACAAGTGAGTTGAATCCTGGTGGGAAGCTAGCCCACTTGGCACAGCCCACTTCTCCTGTCTGACCCTCCTCCCTCCCTCCGCTACTCCCCTCAGCAGTATATTTCAGTAGATCTGCCTGTTCTGTTTCCCACTCTGTCTCTGGTGAACCCTCTTACCCCCTGCACCTTTGGCCTATACCCCAGTTCTTGTATGCATAAATAAAAAAACCCAATTCTTTAAAAAAAATTTAAGATAGGACTTTTATTGATTATTTTATTGTAGATAAAAGTATGTGCTGCTTTCAAAAGGCTAATTTCTCCCATTTAAACCTTAAGCATGGGGGCCTCCCTGGTGGCGCAAGGGGTTAAGACACGTACTATGAAGTAATCCACTGTCGCTACAGTACGAGTTTGATCCCTGGCCAGGGAGGTGACCCACAGACCTCTCCTGTCTTGACTGCTGTTCCCCTCAGCAGTGTATTTCTGTACATCTGCCTGTTCTGCTCCCTACTTTTGTTAGGGGGAAAAGGATGTCCTAAAGCTAATTCCATACAGGCTTTGTGGACTCCACCCCCCACTCTAGACCGGGTGAGAACCCACAGCCAGGCAACCAGTTTTATATCGGGGTTGCTCTGTAACACTATGTCTCTGGTGACTGCTTTCACCTGCCTCCCTCTCCCCATCTCTGGCCTGCACCCTAGCTCTTGTATGTATAAATAAATAAATCTTAAAAAAAAAAAACCAAAAAACCTTAAGTATGTTACATTTCTTTACCATTCTACACACAATCTACAGAATCATGCCTATTAGGAAGTATATATATATATATTTTTTATATAGAGGCATGTTTTTTTATTTATTTAGTTATTTATTTATTTGTTTTGTTTTTTGTTTATACATGCACTGGGTACAGTCAGAAGCGCGGGAGGGTGAGAGAATTCACCAGAGCCAGAGCGGGGAGCAGAGCAGGCAGAAGGACCGAGGTACACTGCTGAGGGGAGCAGCGGGCGGCAGGAGAGGTCTGCGCGCCATGTGGGACACTCCTCCTGTGGCCGGGGAGCAGCCAGGGATCGAACCGGCGCCGCAGAGGCTGCGGGCAGCTTCACAACCCAGCGCTCAACTGCTGCGCCACTGGGGAGGCCCCGGAAGTATATTCTTTTTTTTTTTTTAAAGATTTATTTATGCACACAAGAACTGGGGTACAGGCCAGAGCTGTGGGGGGGGTGAGGGGATTCACCAGAGACAGAGTGGGGAACAGAACAGGCAGACTGACCAAAGTACACTGCTGAGGGGAGCAGCGGGGAGTCAGGAGAGGTCTGCTGCGCCATGTGGGCTGCTCCCTGGTTGGCCCAGGATTGAACTCGTGCTGCAGTGGCTGCTGCAGTGGCTGCGGACAGCCTTATAGGCTGCATCTTAACCCTTGCGCCACCAGGGAGGCCCTAGGAAGTATATTCTTGTTAATTAGCTTGGAAGATCCAATATAAGTATTCTTTTTTAATGACTACTGAGTTATTTGACTTCATGGTAGCATAACAAAGTGGTTACGACCACAAGGTCTCTGCTTTGTCACTTAATAGCTATGGAACTTGGGAAGTTACCAAATGTGACTCAGTTCCCTCATCTTCAAAATAGGCTACTAATCGGACCTACCTCCTAAGGCAGTAAGGACTCAGTAAATTAATGCAAGCCAGAAAAGTGCCCGGCACATAGTAAATATTCAATAAATGCTTGCAATTTAGATTTCTAAAATATATCTAAGAGGTTTTTTTTATTAATAAAACTGAAATTCAATATGTTGTATTTTTCAAAAAATAATTCTGTCTTATTAGATCAAATTGTTCTTGTATTTATGAGCAATATCTTTGCAATATGTGTTCTTTTTTTTTTTTCCCCAAAGATTTATTTATTTATTTATTTATTTATTTATTTATTTATTTATTTATTTATTTATACAAGCACTGGGTACAGTCAGAAGCGCGGGAGGGTGAGAGAATTTACCAGAGCCAGAGTGGAGAGCAGAGCAGGCAGAAGCACCGAAGTACACTGCTGAGAGGAGCAGCGGGCGGCAGGAGAGGTCTGCGCGCCATGTGGGACCCTCTTCCGGTGGCCGGGGAGCAGCTGGGGATCGAACCGGTGCTGCAGAGGCTGCGGGCAGCTTCGCAACCCAGCGCTCAACCGCTGCGCCACTGGGGAGGCCCTCAATATGTGTTCTTTAGGTTCTTACATATCTATTACTTTTATCACTAATCATTCAAAATAAATATTTTTAAATTTGTTTTTTAAAGCTTTATTTTATTGAGGCAATCAAGAGCTGGGGTATAGGCCAGAAGTGTGGGGGTGGTGGTAAGAGGATTCACCAGAGACAGAGCGGGGAACAGAACAGGCAGATCGACAGAAACACACTGCTGAGGGGAGTAGTAGGTGAGGCAGGAGAGGTCTGCTGCGCCATGTGGGTTGCTCTCTGGCTGGGCGGGGATCGAACTTGTGCTACAGAGGCTGTGGATAGCTTCATTGGTTGTGTCTTAACCCCTTGCACCACCAGGGAGGCCCCCAAAACAAATATTTTTAAAAAGACTAATATCTACTTACAGATTCAGAAGGTGGATTTGGGCAATTATTCTTGGCTTTCAGGTAAGGCCTACAAAAGGCAAAATAAGATTCTTAATATAGCAGGATCAACAAGGCTTGGGAAGTATAATGATTAAAACTTATTATGATTAGAATTTTAAGTCATTAGAATTTTAGCATATGGTAAGATATTTAAAAATTATATTCACTAATAAGTTTCTTTGTCATCCCTTCCTTAGTTCTATTATTCTACTCCTTAGAGACAACAACTGCTCTTACCCACTTTTTTTTTGGTGAACCTTTCAGAGATATACTATGCATAAATTTAACATTCTAACAATAGTAATAAAATACGCATTTTCTTATTTGCATAATCCCATTCAAACATAATTTCCTATGATCCAGACACTAGAGATAGAATGCCAAACAAGATAATTGCTTTTAAAAAAAATTCCTTGTTTTAAGTATCTTCAAATAAAGACTTTTCTTGGGGGTGGGGAAGGTGGTATAATTTTAAAAATAGTTATACAGAAGAAATCTAGGTAGTTAGAAATTGCAAAACAAAATAGGAAAATAGAGCAGAATTTAGAAGGATTCATTCTCCAGGAATCAAAAACTATTGCCAGACTAATAAGGATTTTGATCATAACTTAATGTCTGTTTCTCAGGAACAGAGCAGGAACATCTCTGTTTTGTTAAGTACTATATCTCCAGAACCAAGAGTGACTTATAATTAATAATTAAATAAATGGAAAAGGTTGATTTAATCAAGGATATAAGAGTCAAGTAGACAGACTAAAATAAAAAGTAAAAGCTAACTTTGTAAAAATTAATTTTCAAATAAAAATTTAGCAACCCAAATGGGGAGAAAATATATAAGTGCTAAGTAAGTGGGATAAATAATACCACAAAGTCGGCAAGATGCTAACAAAAGGTAAAAGAAAAATGGTTATGTTCTGCTCACATCAAGAGTAAGTTCTAAGGGAAATGACTAATAAGCTCTGTCTGGTTGTAGGATGCTGAAGTGCAGTGATTGATGGAGAACTGACTATAACTGGCTCTTTAGTTTTAGAAAGAAACACTGGAACTAGCATTATCCAGCTCCTTGACAGACATTGCCTTTATGACAATTACTTTCTCAGGTAAAAGAATAGGAACAAGCAAACTCCCAGCATGGTAGGTAACAGATTCTCCTTTCCTTGTTTTGCAGACTGTCACAATAATGCTTAAATCTTTGCCAATGTACTAGATACTGCTTGGACTGGGGCCCTTTTCTAATTATCACAGGATCACAACACAGCCCCAGTAGATTGAAAGCAAAATGACTATGTTTTATTTATTTATTTAAAATTTTTTGTTAATTTATTTTTTACATCATTGTTCATTTTTAAGCAATGTTTGCTTCCCCTCAACGCCCCTACCCCCTCCACTTCAGGTGTAGTCACCACAGAATTTCCTTCAGCAATGCACTGGTGCACCATCACCACAGACCCCTGTGCTCCTCCCTCCCTCCCTCTGTTCTGTCTCCCCCCTCCTCCCCTGCAGTAAGTCACTGATTAATAATTGGCAAAAGGACTATGTTTTGAAGAGGCTTTGGATTGCTACTAGCAACTGGGGCAACAAAATTTGCATAACCGCGGGAGACAAACTCACTTGGTGTTTTGGCATTTCAGTTTCCCCTTGGCTGCTAGGTACTCTTGGAGCTTCCTCTGCCGTTCTTCTGCAAAACGGACAAGCAAACAAACAACAGGGCTTCAGCTCTAGATTTTAACCAAATGAGTTATAATCTAAAAGATGACACTTTTCTGCAGTGACTTTGGTTTTGAGCTATTTATACAGTCCCTGGTCCTGTAAGTTGGTCTCCAAGTTAATATCAACAGAGACACTAGAATTTATAGGCCAGTTTCTATACTAAACTCTTCACACATTTTTGTCCTTAATTCATACAACACTCCTATGAGGTATTTGCAGTCTGAAATTTAAAGAGGGTAAGTGATATGCTGCAAAGTTACCCTCATATGTGGCAAAGCCAGGATCTGAAACCAGGTGTGTCTGACTCCAGAGCCTTAGCTTGTAGCCACTAGTCTTAGTTACAACTTTTTATGCTTTCTTTGCCTGAAGACATTCTGAACTGACCCACAGGAGCTGGCGAATAATTGCTTTTTTCTTCCTCTGACAGGGATTTTTTTTTTTTTTTTTTCATAGAGATCCTTATATGGTTTCTATTGGGACTAGGGACAACATAAGCCAGGTTAGGAGGCTCATGGCAAACGTATTATATGGTGGCTTTCTAAGCAAGGCATTTCTGAGGGATGAAAAGTAAGTATTTCTGTCTTCACGAAGTTTCAATCTAGCAGCTGAGATAAAATAAACACAAAGATAATTATAATATAAGGTAAAATCTAGGGGCCATAAGAGAGGGCCAAAGAAAGAATTATGAGGGTTCAGAGGTGGGGACTGAGTGAGGGGAACAGGTGGTTGGAGAAGGATAAAATTAAATGACCAAAACCAAAACACCCTCCCTGCCCCCCCCAAAAAAACAAAAACCAAACATCTAATCCTAGTTGCTAGTTGTGGTTCTGACTATCGCATCTCTAGGAGACAGCAGGCAGAAATGCAACCTTTTAGGTCCAGGCCAACAGTGATAGACCAGAGGCTACTGGAGTCTCCTGGGTTGGAATTCCAGTTCTGTGACTTTCAGCCAGTTAGCAAATCTTGCTGCTGCTGATTCTTTAAGATGGGCGCAGAAATGCTCATCTTTTAAGCGTTGTCATATAAAGTGCCCAGGACCTGGCAGACAATCCGCAGTCATTATCACCAAAACCATCAACACACTGTGTGCCCTGGGGAGCAAGAGGCATCTGGACACGAGTATTTGGAAAGGTAGGCAAGGGCTACCAAGCAAGAAGTGGGGAAACCCAGGACCCTCGGCCATCGGGGCAGATCTAGCCCAGCAGAGCAGCCTTCAGGGCCCGCAGCCTCAGGAGGTGAAGGCGAGAGCCAGGTTGGGTCGGACCCCGCTTCTTGACAGCTGTCAAAACTTGGGCGGGGCTGCAGGGAGGAACACACCCAGGTCTGCCAGGAGCCCAATCTGGGCCAGGGGAGCGCTTTGCTTCCTACTGGATGTGCGACCCCCGGCAAGGGGCTCAGTTTCTTCACCTGAAACGAACTGACAGCGACAGCATCCTGTCCCACAGGTGGTCGGAGGAAGGCGCTGGCTTGGGCCGGACTTAAGGGAAAATGCCCGCGAGACACCTGGCCCCCGAGCCAACTCCCGCGCCCTCGGCCCAGACGCCTGGCCAGGGCCGGGGACCTGGGCTCTCCTCAGAGCCCTGGGGGAAACTGAGGCAGGCCGGGGATGGGGGCCGGCGGCCGCAGAAGGGGCTGAGCGGGAGGCCTCCCTGCTCCCCCCCGCGCGCCCGCGCCTGCAGGGCGGGCCAGGCACACTCACCCGCGGCGGCGGCGAGCCCGGGCGCCACCATCGCGCCTCTGCTGCGGCTTCTTTCAAAGGCCGCGCCGGGCGCTGAGGCCTGCGCCGCGCGCGCGCCGGTTCTCATTGGCTCCGGCGGGTTTGAAAGTCGCCGGGCGGAAGCAGACGGGGGCGGACCACAGGGGCGACGCTCGGCGAGCGGCCCCGTTCTTGGGCCTGTGATTGGAAGAACTTGCTGCTGGGCCGTTGGCGTTCAAGGCGGCGGCTTCGGGGCCCGCGACGGGTGCGTGAGTCTGCCCGGCCTGCTGGGGCGGGTGGGGCGCGCGCTCGCAGAGTCGGGGTGCCCAGAATCGCGCTCAGCCTGGCGCTCTGGGAGCTGGGGGGCAGCTAGAGCGAGGCTGAGCCTCCTTGTTCTCGCACCCCGAGTTCATACCACCGTCCCGATCGGGACTTGGTCGTTCTCCCGTTAGCGAGTAACTCCCCACAGCCCGCCCCAGGCGCTGGCAGCCAGCATCCTGCCTCTGGCTGCTCCGCGTATACCCTCGTATTACCTTGTATAGATGAAACGTGCAGTGTTGGTCTTTTTCTGACTCACTTAGTTCACTTAGCGTGAAGCCCGCAGTGTTGATTTGTGTTGCAGTACGTGTGAGAGTTTGCTTCCCTTCTCAGGCTGAAAGCCACTTGTTGTATGTTTATCCTCTCTCCTGGATGCTTGGGTGACTTCCACCTTCTGGCTCTAGTAAATGCTGTTGAGGAGAAAATATATTGTTGAGCAAATGAATATAATAAAGATCCCAGCAGAACTTCCAGCCCAGGTGCAATGAACATGCCAATGCAGGCATAATCAACAAGTTTGCTTACTTACAGCTCCTTCCCTTTCAAGATTCATGGCCAGGGCCTCAGAACTCTTATCTGCAAGGTCGGGCAGCAGGCCAAGCTGGTGTCTCTCTCCAGAGCCATCCCTGAGTGCTTGCACCTTTCCCCCCTTGCCTTGCCCCGATTGTCTGGGGACTTTGCCTGCTGAAAAACGATGTTATCAATGTAACAAATATGGACACAGTTTTGTATAAAAGGAACCCTTGGTCTTTAAAGGAGGGTGGAGGGGGGCTCAGACCTTACCGGGCTACCCAGGTCTGGGACCTCATGCATGAGTAATAAAGCTTCTCCTGAAGTACCGCTGGTTCTTCCTCTGCCTGGGTAAAGGGCTAGAATTTATTTCTCCAACACTGTGAACTTGAGCGTTGGCATATATAATTGTTGGCATATCCTCTGTGAATTCTTTGGGGTATACACCTAGAAGTGATGGTTGGATTTTTATGGCACCTCTTTTTAAAATTAAAAAAAAATTTATTACTCAGGTAAAATTGTTTTATAACAATGTATATGATTTAGGGGAATAGGGTCACATTTCCTCAGAGGTATGTCACCACAACACAAAAAAGGACCTATAATTCTTTACATTAGACTATTGGGCTCCCCTCTTTCCTTTGCTCCCACCCCTCCTGCCCTCCCGCCCCCTTCTCATAGTCTCAATTTTGAAGTCATATTTCTAGGCTTTGTTTTGGTTTAGTTTTATTAGTTTCTCTATATTCCACATGAGAGTGAAATCATCTGATATTTGCGGTAGAATAGTCTTGTCCACTCCCCCCCCTCCCCCCACAGCCTAATGCCAAGGCTTGGGAATGGCAACTCTGCCTCCACCTGGGTTGGGAGCAAACCTCCCTATTGTCCCCTCCCCCCCAACTACCTGACCTAGATGTGGGAGGAATAGGGCTGAATTCCCCTGCCTGAAGTCCTGACAGGATACCAGTATAGCCCTATGCTGGGAGCTCTACCCCTGACAGCGGTATTCAGGGGGCTAGTGGGCTGCTGGGAAAGAGGTGAAACAAAACAGCCATTTCTGGGAGCCCTTATAAAAGGAGGGGAATGGGGTGACCAGCCATTGGCAGATCACCCTACCAATGGGCCTTTGCCCCCAGGAGGACTGAGTGGCCCTCGGCGTTAACAATGGAGGTACACTGCCAGTCCCTGCGGTGGTAGGATGTGATAAGACTTTGCAGCAGGCCCAGGGTCTAGACTGCAGGCACCAACTTCAGATGAGACCTGGCATGTGAAGCTTCATCTCATCTTCATTTAGTAACTAGATGCTGTCTTTTCTACTATAGTTCTCTTTCCATCATGTTAAATCATTTTTCTGATTTGCTGCTCCAAAGTTCTTGTTTATAGTTGTGACAGCAGGTGTGTGGACCTAGAATTGGTGAGAGGGGTTCTGTTCCTGTGTTTTTGTATCCTTTTTGCAGTAACATTTCTCCTTCTGATTTGTTTCACTTAGCATGATCTCCAGGTCCATCCATGTTGTTGAAAATGGCAAGAGTTCATCTTATTTTCTGAGTAATAGTCCATCTGGTATTATATGCCACACACTTTTTTTTTTTTAAAGGTTTATTTATTTATACAAGAACCAAAGTACAGGCCAGATGACCGGGACGGTGAGAGGATTCACCGGAGACAGAGCGGGGAGCAGAACAGGCAGACTGACGAAATAAACTGCTGAGGGGAGCAGCGGTGAGACAGGAGAGGTCTGCCACGCCATGTGGGATTCTCGCTGGCCGGCTGGGATCGAACCTGGCTGTAGAGGCTGGCGACAGCTTCACAGTGCGGCGCTCAACTGCCTGCGCCACCAAGGAGGCCCCCACACACCTTTTCAAAAAATATTAATTTACTTTCTTACATCATTGTTAATTTTTGTAGAGTATTTGATTTCTCCCCTCACGTGTATCTCCATAGTTCTCCCACTACCATAGCACCTGTGAACTATCACCATAGTCCCTTGTGCTCTTCCCTCCAGTTTTGACCCTCTCTCTCCCCCGTCTCCTTCCCCTCTCCTGCTGAATGCCTAAGATCTATGGTCTGCCTGCAAGTTTTTTCTTTTTCCTGATCCTTTGTTTAGTTTCCTTATATTTTCTCTGTGAGACCATGTGGTATTTTTCTTTTTCCTTCTGACTTATTTCGTGTAGCATAATCCCTTCCAGCTCCATCCATGCTGTTGCAAATGGCATGAGTTTATCTTTTTTAAAAAATATTTCATTTTATATAATTCTTACATCATTTTTCACTTTTGCACAATGTATGCATTTTCATTTTGGTTCTATTCCCCATACAATTGCACCCCACCTTATTTTGACCCTAATCCTTCCTCTCCCCTCTCCCCGCCCCCACAGTGTATCTCTGTCCATAGTTGCTTGTTGATTTTGATTTTTACTTTGTATTAATTAGTCTTTTTCCCGGTCCCTTATTTAGATTTTCTAAAAAAAATATGAAACGCTTCATGAATTTGTGTGTCATCTTAGCGCAGGGGACATGCTAATCTTCTCTGTATTGTTCCAATTTTAGTATATGTGCTACCGAAGCGAGCACATGTTTTTTTTTTTTTTTTGATTGCTGAGTAATATTCCATTGTGTGTAAAATCTTCTTGATCCACTCATCTGTTTCAGGGCATTTAGGTTGTTTCAACATCTTAGCTATAGTAAATAGTGCTATAGTAAACATGGGATTGCAGGTTTCCCTTCGGATTAGTGCTTTTGTGTCCTTTGGGTATATTTCCAGGAGTGGAATTGCTGGATCATATAGCAGCTCCAGCTCCATTTTTATTGTTTTTTTTTTTTTTTTTAAAGATTTATTTATTTATTTATACAAGCACAGGGTACAGTCCGAAGCGCGGGAGGGTGAGAGAATTCACAAGAGCCAGAGCAGGGAACAGAACAGACAGACTGATGAAATACACTGCTAAGGGGAGCAGTGGGCACCGCAGGAGAGGTCTGCGCGCCATGTGGGACCCTCACTGGCAGCCGGGGATTGAACCGGCGCTACAGAGGCTGCGGGCAGCTTTGCAGCCCAGCGCTCAACCACTGTGCCACCAGGGAGACCCTGGTTTTTTTTTTATTTTTAAGATTTTTTATTTATTCATACAAGAACTGGGGTTCAGGCCAGAGGTGTGGGGGGTGTGTGAGTGTTCACCAGAGACAGAATGGGGAACAGAACAGGCAGATTGACTTAAGTACACTGCTGAGGGGAGCAGCTGGCGAGACAGGAGAGGACTGCCTTGCCATGTGGATTTCTCTCTGGCTGGCTGGGGATCGAACTTGTGCTACAGAGGCCGTGGATTGCTTCATAGTGCGGTGCTTAACCACCTGCACCACCAGGGAGGCCCATTTTTACTGTTTTAAGGATGCTCCACATAGTGTTTCATAGTGGCTGGACCAGTTCCCAGTTCCACCAGCAGGGTAAGAGGGTTCCTTTTTCTCTACATCTATGTGACCATTTGTTGTTGCCAGTTTTTTATTTATATTTTTATTGTATTTTTAAATTTTTTTTAAAGATTTTTTTATTTATGCATAAAAGAGCTGGGGTACAGGCCAGAGATGTGGGGGGTGAGAGGATCCATCAGAGACAGAGTGGGGAACAGAACAGGCAGACTGATTGAAATACACTGTTGAGGGGAGCAGCGGGCGAGGCAGGAGAGGTCTGCTGCACCATGTGGGTTGCTCCTGGCCAGCTGGGGATCGAACTCGTGCTGCCGAACTCATGCTACAGAGGCTGCGGATTGCTTCATAGTGCCATGCTTAACCCCTTGTGCCATCAGGGAGGCTCTCTGTTGCCAGTTTTTTAAATATGGGCCATTCTCACTGGTCTAAGTTTTGATTTGCATTTCCCTCATAATAAGTGATGTTGAACATATTTTCCTATACCTTTTGGCCATTTGCATTCCTTCTTTTGGGAAGTGTCATTTTAGCTCTTCTGTCCAGTTTTTGACTGGGTTGTTTGCTTTGTTCAATTATGTAAGCTCTTTGTAGGTCACTGATATCAGTCTCTTATCAGTTGTATGGAGTGCAAATACTTTCTCCCATTCCATGGGATATCTTTTTATTTTGGTTACTGTCTCTTTTGCTGTGCAAAAGCTTTTTAGTTTGATGTAGTCCTAGCTGTTTATCTTTTCATTTATTTTGGTTGCTTTTGGAGATGGGCCCTTGAAGATGTTTCTGATGTGTATGTCATGGAATGTTTTGCCTGTGTTTTCTATTACATATTTTATGGTTCAGGTCTTACATTCAAGTCTTTTATCTATTTTGGTTTTAGTGTATAGGGTGAGGTAGTAGTCTAGTTTCAATCTTTTGCATCTTTTGCATGTGGTGTGGACCTTTAGTTTTTAATGTTGCTCTGTATGTGTGTCTGTAAGGACACATGAACATGGGCTGTGGATGTGATCCTGGGAATATTATCATTCTTAATGCCACTTAAGGGTATTGGCAGACTAACAAGCGGGGGAGAAAAACTATAGTATCTTGATTTGGCTTTAGAACCAACTGTGTTTGCTTCTAAAGGAACATTATATGTAGTTATTTATGTGAACTCTTACCAGTTGGTTCAGTTAGCAAATGATTGTGTCAGACTTACTTTTTTATGTGATTTATTCAATTATAATTGATAATAATGTATCAATTTTTATCATTAATAATGATAATGAGGACTTTTTTTCAGAACTTATACAACCAAGAAGTAGCATTGCTTACATTCTAGAAAAGACATTTAGATAACAGTAGTCCCATGGTTGCCAAAATGAATTAAGTACATAAGCTAGTAGTTGGATAGCAGGTGTAATGGAATGACACAAGAATGCCAAAGCAAGTTTAGAGGCAGAGGAGTCAACAATTGACCAATTAGCAACTCAAACAAACAAGATAATTAATACAAATTTATTATCATAATTATAGAACTCTCAGGTACTAGAATACAGATCTTCATGGTAATGGAAAAAGCATGATTTTGACCAAAGTGCCTCAGTGTAGCTAAGTGGGAGAATACTGTTACTGTTGCTGAGGAGGTCCAGCCACACTCAGATACTGCTATAAATATATTATATATTTATAATATATATAATAAATTATAAAATATAATTATTATATTTATAATATATATTATAATTATCCTTAAATATATTTATAAATATATGTATATATATAAGTAATATCTTAAAATAACATTTCATGTTTCTCTGCTTCTGAAGACAAAGTTTCAAGAGGCATTTTACTAAAGTGATCTCACTGGTTGGAATAAAATACTGTTGAGGCAGGAAGAATAAAGTATCATTCTCTCCCTTTTTGATGCTGACAAAACTGAGCCCCAGAAATGTATAGTACTTAATTAAGGGCCCATCAGCAATTTCAAAACAGAAGGCAAGCAGTTACAATGAAATCCTGGGTAATGGCTTCCCCTTTCAACTGCTATTGTGGGTATTTCTTAATTTTCTTATGCTGTGGTTAACCTACCTGTTATATGGATAGTCTTTTTTTTTTTTTTTTTTTTTTGTAGCAATATTCAGTAGTTCTGATCCCCCCAGGATTGTTAATGAGGAACAATAATTAAAATGATTGGTACTTTGCAAAGTGTAGGGTGTTCTTTAAATAACAAACAACATTATATATTAGCGTTGGTTCTAATAGACCTTGTTCTCTCACAAAGAGAGTAAACATTCATTAAGAATTACAAAGTCTCAGCACATGCTCAGCAAATGACTAAGAGTGAAGAATTTGACTGCTTCATGTACATGGTACATACAGAATGTCTACACATCACATGCTTAATTGACTTAAGAGTCAAGACTAGATTTCCAGTATCACAAAATCAATACCAGAGGGTTGTCCACGTGCCAGGTGCACCAGCTCATTTTCCTTCGTGGCAAGATACAATGTTGGATTGGCAACTGACTTGAAGTAGTTCTTCGAGCCATGACTTTCCCAGAAGAAGAGGAGGCTGGCCTCAGCTGTCTCTTGTTTGATCATTCTGGGTGTCTCAGACATCTCCTATGATAAGGAGAACAGAGTTCTGGTCAGATAAGAAGATGATGCTAGAAAAAGAACTGAAGCTCAACCCCTTGGCATTTGACCCTCGTGAGAACATGGCACTATAGGACTATGACTTTGTAATATGATGAGTTCTTCATTCATTTGTTCATTCAGCAAGTATTTATTACATGCCTATTAGATGTATGGCTCAGTCTTTTTGACTAAGTATATTTCCTTACTTAACTGGAGAGAATTTGAAATTAGTCACGAAGATTGCCTATGACACTAATGTCCTGCTGTTGCACGGTGGGTAGGGGTGAAACATTGTTCTTGTCTTGCCTTCAACATAGGCACAGGACATTTTGCATCAAATCTGAGCCTGAGTGATTCTAAACCTCTAAGCATTTTGCTCCCTGAGTGTGTAAATCATGCCTTTTGGAAAATAATTTATCTCCATGTTTAAATAAGCAGTTGAAGGTTAAAAAAAATAAAAATGTGTGTGCATGTGTGTGTATGTACACACTAACCCCACGCAAAACTTCCCAGGTATATAACACTGGATCCTTTCAGTACAATTTTGACAATTGTGATCGCTTTTGGGTGAACTTTTCTTGTAGGTAATAGAATCTAATGATAACTTCATGGAAAATTAAATTCAACTTCTAAGTTGAAGTGTTTTCTTCTACTCTTTCTTTCTTTCTTTCTTTCTTTCTTAAGATTTCTTTATTTATATAAGCACTGGGTACAGTCAGAAGCGTGGGAAGGTAAGAGAATTCACCAGAGCCAGAGCAGGGAACAGAACAGGCAAGACTGATGAAATACACTGCTGAGGGGAGCAGCGGGCGTGGCAGGAGAGGTCGGTGCACCATGTGGGACCCTTGCTGGGGGTCCCAGCGGATTGAACCGGTGCTGGGGATTGAACCTGCGCTGCAGAGGCTGCGGGCAGCTTCGCAGCCCAGCACTCAACCGCTGCGCCACCAGGGGAGGCCCTTCTACTCTTCTTTAATCTAAAGCAACTGAATATCCTTTTGAGGTTTCCTTGGGGTTGTCAATATCAGCAAAGATCTTATTTCTCAAACCTATTCCTCTCAGTTTTTTCTCCATTGCAGTAAATGGAGTTTCTCCCCTTCCTCCCATTGACTCCATTTCCAAAATACAACCAGAATCTTTCCACCAGGCCCACCATTTCCCACCCATGACTATTGTTAGAACCTCCTAATGGGCTCCGTGCTTTCTCTGATGCTTTCCTTCTTATCTAGTCTCCGTTAATGAGAAAATATGAGTGAATAGAAAATATGAGTGAATAGAAAATATGAGTGAAGGCATAACTCTTCCCTGTTTGAAACCTTTTAATGCCTTTTCTAACGAAAAGGTAATGATTTCATTATTCCAAATGAAATTCAATGCAAAGCTCTGCAAACAGTAGCCTCTACTTTTCTTCCCTCCTCACAGTGCTCCACCTCCTCTGATCTTTGGAGCTGGTCTCGAAGTTCTTGAAGCTCAGGGCTTGGGTGCACTCTGTTTGGAATGCCCGCCATGCTCCCCGTTGCATGACTTGCTCCCTTCTATTAGCAGGTTTCATCTCCTAGGGAGCTCTGCCCCTGCCACTCTATCTAAATGGCACATTCCATTTTTTTCTACCTCCTCCTTGTTTCATTTTCTTCATAGTACCTTGCATTTTTTTGTGTGTCTGTTCTATAAAACTAGGCACGTTGACTCCCCACTCTCTACATAAATGTTAGTATTGTGTTTGAAAAATAGAAGACTCCCAATACCTAACTCTTGTTGAATGAATTAATGAATGACGCTACAGCCTTACTCTTTTGACATCACTTTCATCTCACTTGATCCAGGGAGAGAAACACATGTGCACACCTAAGTCCTAATTGAGGGCAGTGGTGGGGCAGGGAGGGTCAGATTATACATTTACTGAATAACAATCACATACTTATAAGTGGAGAAAACTAAGGCTAGGGTGATAATGTGTGTGTATTTTTGGGGGGAAGAGGGAAGGAAGTGGAGGTTGCACTGGCTTGAGGGATAATGCTGGCCCCAATGAGGAGAGAGTCATCAGAACCAGAAGGCCAGGTTAGAGCCTTGGCAGCCAGCTTTTGGCTTGGTGCCCATGGTAGGTGATTAATCCTCTATGATTTCAATCAGATTATTTGAGTTTTTTGGAGGAGAGTCCCATAGTCCTATGTCTCCTATCAGACATGTTAGATATATATTAGCAAAGATAAACGATCAGAAGAAAATGCTGTAGGAGAGGAAAGGAGTAGGATCAGGCAGGGAAAAGAAAAAGAAGGCAGAAAACAATTTACTTTTATTTACTCTTCCCATCTCCATTTTACTTGCTCTCTCACAAATCCTGCCTAAAATTTTTTCTGGGGATAAGTGAGAAATAGGATGGAGGGACAGGTGGGCAGGTGGGGATTGTGTGGAAAGAGGAGTTCTGTGCTACCCTGTGAATATCATTTACTTCCTAGTGGTTTCATTTACAAATGTGTAGTTCTAAAAGAAGGTAAATTGGAGATTGAGAATAACTGACCTTTAGCAGTATGGGTTCACATTCTTTTTGGGCGCTCACAAAGAAGCGAGTGTCTGAGATTCCTAGAGCCACAGGAAATTGAGAATCCTTGTTTGATCTGTAGGCATATATGTCAAATTTCACTGGCAAAAAGAAAAACAAAAATAGATTAGATTCATTGTATTTGTAGAAAATCAAGTGTTTTTGTAGTGTATGCGTGTAGAGTGAAGTATGTGTAAGTGCTACGAGTGAAATAGTATATATCTTGGTATCTTCTCAATAATTGTGACATCACTAGGCAGGTAAATACTTGGTTGATGTCCTTAGAACTTTGTTGAATGTTGAGATTCTTAGAGTCACTGAAATTTAGAATCTTCTACTGATATGTAAGCATATCAGGCTGAGTATTTGTTGAAGCCCTTGCAATTACGCTAATGGGATAAAAACCTGCAGTTTGTGAGGTCCATTAGTTCATAATGACTTAAAATGGAGAGGTTTAGGGAAACTGATCCACTCATGTGTGGCCGTTGATAGTGATAAATTGTTTAGTTTTCCTAAGAGAACAATGCTTAATAAGAGCTGTAAAATTATTAATGCATAGGAATCCAGGTTTGGGATATGCTTTAAAGAAACATAACCTTGGATTCTCTTCATGAAGATGGCTCTGAAAGTAAAGAAGGAAGCAGGCAAGACAGGAGAGGCCTGCTGCGCTATATGGGTTAGCTTCCTGGCTGGGGATCGAACTCAGGCCGTAGGAATGATAGCACCGAGACTCAAAGCCCATGCCACCAGGGAAGCCCCATGTTACTTCCTTATTTCCTTCAAGATTTCTACTATCAAATAATAAATTTTTCTAGATTCCTGGTGCTGTGCCATTCTTCTGTGTTGCCTGCTGCTTGGTATTTCAGTGGATATGCCTGTTTTGCTCCCTACTCTGTCTCTGGTGAATCTTCTCACCCCTCACACCTCTGGCCTACACCCCAGTTCTTCAATGCATAAATTTAAAAAAAAAGAAGTAACAAGAGAGGAGGATGACAGCGTTGGGCGTTTACCTGCATCATCCAGGTTCTGTAGCGCAGCCGTCCTGAGATACCCCTGACCTGGTGCGGATCGAATCACACTTTCGTTGAGGGCATCGTTCAGGATGCACCTTTGTTTGATTTTCCTCCCAAAGGTGAACTCCGTACTGCTCTGGTAGTTGTAAGATACTGATCTGGGTTGGATGATTTCTAAAACCATTACCACAAGTTCAGATTAATGTCAAGATACAAACCCAGATGAGACAACCGTTCTAATACAAGCATCGAAGTAGCCATGGAGGGGTTATAGGAATAACTGAGTTGAGGAAACAGAAGTGAAATAACCCAAGCAGCAGCAGAACTGACTCTAGGATTATCCTTGGTGTTACTTAATTGATTTTGCTTTCAGACTTTGATTCCTCAGGCAGTTGCTTGGTCTTATTAAGAGATTACTTGTGTAGCTTTTTCATTTTGGGTTGGTTTGGAGGTTTCTAAGTAGCCGGGAGACTCATCGTATTCCCCATCTATATTTCAAATGAATGCACCCTGAGAAAAAGGTGAAGATGTTAAGAATTGTATATGTCACTCAGGGTGCAGGTTTAAATGCCTGCTATCTAGTGTATCAATAGCTTCACAAATCCTCATGGTTCTGAGTAATTCTTCTTCCTGGAATCTATTCTAAGGATTCTAATGCTGATAGACATGAAGATTATTGATATGGATATTCATAGTTTTTTTTTTCCAGTGGTGACTACATTTATTTAAAAACTTCTCCCTATAAGCCCTTGTTGCATTAACTTATAAGGGGGAAAAAAGGGCAGTCGGAAGTATCCTTCCTAAACTGCTCAGTGGAAAAAGTTGGATTAAAAATTGTATGTTACATAATCCTAATAATGTTTAATATCTTTGTCGTGGATGTTTGCATATAGAACAGACTTTAAGGAACATACCATGGTGTGGCAGTGGCAACGTTTGAGTGATATCATGAATGACTCTTGTTTCTTATATTTTCCAATTTTCTAGATGAACATGTATTAGTGTTGAGCTGCTGTCTTCAAAATCCCTTATACTAAAAATATTGGTTTATAATTCACATAGAGGTTTGTACAGTAAAGGCGGAGAGAAAAATCATGATTTTTGTAGTCAGAAAGAACTGAGTTTGTTGATACTCTCCTACCTACATAGTATGTGACTTTGGGCAGGTTACTATTTTACTGAGTTTAGTTTCCTCACCTCTTAAATGAAAATGTAGGATTGTTTTGAAGTTCAGAGAGAATTATGCAGCATTAATAAATTAGTAGTGTGCGTATTTTTTTTTTAATAATAATTTTTTTTGTTTTTGTTTTGTTTTTAAGATTTATTTATTTATTTATACAAGCACTGGGTACAGTCAGAAGTGCGGGAGGGTGAGAGAATTTACCAGAGCCAGAGCGGGGAGCAGAGCAGGCAGAAGGGCCCGAAGTACACTGCTGAGGGGAGCAGCGGGCGGCAGGAGAGGTCTGTGCGCCATGTGGGACCCTCCTCCTGTGGCCGGGTACCAGCCAGGGATTGAACCGGCGCTGCAGAGGCTGCGGGCAGCTTTGCAACCTGGCGTCAACCTGGCGTCAACCTGGCGTCAACTACTATCGGGGAGGCCCAGTAGTGTTCGTATTAAAAAGGCCGTATTAGTAACAAAAACAGCAGCAGCAAACATTTGCTTACTGTGTGCCAGGCATTGTTCTAGCCCATAGTTTGTGAATATATTTCCTCATTTAATCCTCATATCAAGTAGAGGCTCTGATTACCTCCATTTTACAGTGGAGGAAACAACACAGAAACACTGAGGAACTTGTAGAAGAGACATAGTTAACACGTGGGCTTGGAAGTGGTCACCCATTGGCATTACATAACTGCTTTCTGCAGAAAGGCTCAAAGTCACACGGCCTTTCCACCATGATCAGGAAATGAGCTGTGAGCCAGACACCCCACACTCATGCCATCATCGCTGCCTTCTCCCCACTGGAGAAGGGGACATTCATTTTGCTTCCCGTACTTACCAGATTTAGCCTGGTTGCCCTCTTGTTACTCTGACTGCAGGTTTTATTTCCCCTTGTATTGTTTCAGTTTACTCAAGTGTAAAACAAGGATATTATTGTACTGGACCCCTTACCTTCTTCTGTATCATTATCAATGACTTCCCAGTCATGGTCAATGATGAGGTGATTTGAACTCAGCCTTCTTTTCTTTGAAATCCTATTGGCTGAAAATACTACCACATTCTTCTTGAAGGCAAGCTTGGGCGTCTTAGAGGTTTCGGAGGTGCTCAGAGACTGAACTTTATCCCTGCAGTCTTCATGAAGTGGGTCATGTCTTGCATCGTGGCTTACATCATAAAAGGATTTCTGTGAGGATGGACAGTGGAAACTGAGAGGCTGTTTGTAACCATCAAGTGAGACTTTTTCAGTAGGAATTTTATGCAACAGACTTAACAAGGATCTCCCTTTTGGTTTTGGGTAATAACCCATGTTTCACTAGTCTTACCCCCTTCCAGTCCCCTCTTCTTTCCTCTCTCCATGCCTCCCTCCCTCCCCTTCCTGTGTCTTCTACCCTCCCTCTCTCCCTTTCTTTCAGCTTTGCTCTGCAAGGGAATTGTGATCCCTTGGGAAGACCTTGTCATTTTGCCTGTAGACTTGCAAATGAAACGGTTTTACAAGTGATCTTAGTGAGTGGTAGCCTTCTAGTTAATTCCCTCTCAGGAGGTTAAATGTGTACTTGGCAGTACTCAAATATTTGAGAAATATTTCTTTGGGAATAATTTTACAGTCAGTGCGAGAAAAGGCCAGGTAGTCCTTACATGGCCTATTTGCAAACTCCTCGCAAAAGAACACAGCTTGGTGAGTAGCTGCAGATTTCTCATTTCAGTTAACTTGCTCCTTCTACCTTGACATCAGGCGCTATTCCATTTGGAGAGCGATCTCTAACTCTAGAGTTAGTGCCAGAGGGGATGGCCATGGCACTTGAGTATAGGAGACAGACTCCCTAGTGAAGTGACCAAGGGGCTGACTCAGGATAGCATAAGTAACATTCTGATGAAGCCTGGCCCGAGAGACTCCAGCTCTTGGGGTTTCAGGAGAGTTCTGCTCTATTCTGGGAAAAGCGGGTAAACATGAAGAGTGTTAATCAACTGTTAGTGTAGAAGGCAGTTGGTCTCACAATGAAGAAAAACATGTCTCTGGACCTCCAGTGAGAATAAACAAAAGTATCTGGTGGAGAAACTACCGCATAAGAACAGTAATCCCAAAGAGATAAACTGAATAAAACCAAAATAAGCCTTTGAATGATAAAACCAATTAGTGGCCACCAGGAGGGAAGAGAGGAAGGGAGCTGGCAGATCAGGGCAAAGGAGCTGTGGTATGGTGAAGGAAAGAACTGGACTTTTAGTGGTGAACCTGTTGTTGTTTATATACAGGTCGATTTTCAGTAATGCACTTGAAACATGTTAGAGTGCTGTGTTACTTCAATTTTTTTTTAAAAAGGAATAGTAACCCCATAAGAATTACAGTCATTTGCTTAACTTACCTGATTCAGAGAGAGCTGGTCAATCTCAGAACTGTAGTCTTCATTTTCACTGTCAAAGCAAGATGACGAGAATGCATTTCTGTTTGTTATATCGCTACAGTTACTGGGCAACGTATTTTAATGATCACATTAGAGCTTTGGGTTTAACACACACACACACACACACACACACACACACACACACACACACACCCATTACTATCATCTTTGAAAATTAAGGACTTCTTTACATGCACATGCATACAGTAATTTGTACCTCACTAATTTGGAGTTAGTTATCACCAGGACCGGTCTTGAACTTTACCTATAAAGAAGATGGCTTGGCTAACAAATTGAATAGTTGCAATTGAATTTCAGGGGAGAATATTAAGCTTCTTAAGAGAAAAGAAGTACTTTTGGAGCATCTTATTTTAATTTTAACCAAATCATATGTTATACAGATTGCTTCCCTGTATGCACTGAAACAGACTGAATAATTTCTAGTTGGCAAAATGCCCAGACAACACTTTGCTAGCCTGTTAGTGTATATTAATCAGTAATGGAAATACTATGTGTATTTAAAGTGTTCTATAACTTTAAATTTGTATTCATTCATCCGAGAATTAAGTTTAACTGTGTATGCACATCCACGTGCGCAGATTGCTGTGGGCTAATGTGAACCCAACAGAGACTGTATTTAAGTAGATGTTGAAATTCACTAGGGCTTAGAGACCTTAAAAATAATATTCCTAAAATGACTCTTGCCCTGCCATCTCAGTTTAACTTGCTGAATGCATAATTTCCCTGGGTCTTTGTTGAACTTGCCCTGACTTCAGAGGTAGGACATATCTCTATAGGATCTGCCAGTCTGACCCCATGCTGGTCACCACACCTCCTACTTGGACTCTAATGAGTCTCTGCCCCCACATTAAATCACAAGACATATTTATTTCCTACCTGTAACAGTTCTTCAGGTCTTCAAATAGGTCAGGGACTTTGGCCATCTTACCTTCTGTAACATAGAACACCAGAGACTGACAACTCAGTTTGCCTCTGAGCAAAATGCCTGCAAGGGGAACCACCTCCGCTTGGGACCTCTTGAGAAACTTAATGACTTAGCCCACACTCAGCCTGTTCCCTATTCTTCTTTTTGCTCCCTTGAATTATTTGTACATGTATCTCCCCCTTCTACTTCTTTTAAAATCTGTCTTACTTATTTCGGTATCTCTTATAATTCCTTATGTGTGAATGCCTACACCAATATAGGCATTCAATGAAAGTTTGGATAAATTGAAAAAAACAACAACCCTCAAATCCCCAAGAATAAGGTATTTGTCTTACAGAAATGTGAGAGAGAGACAGAATTGGAAATGTCCAGCTTTCTCTTAATTGTTTTTGTTAGTAGAGATATCCCCCCCAAAAGGAGGATTCCGTGGCACCACCAGTGCCCGCATGTGAATCCAGTTCCTCTGTCCCTCAGTTCCCCGTCAGTAGAAAATTCCTTTTCTGAACTGTGATTCTCTCTCATATACCAAACCAGGCAGGGGCAAGAAAGGGAAGAAGAAGCTTTAGTTTCAGAGAAGACAGTTTGAGAGACAACAGCCAAGGAGAAAATAAAAGATATGTTAAGAGCCAAAGATCTGATAAGCACAATACCTTTGCCGACTCAGGCCCCAAAGAAATGATTCTCTCACTGCTTCTAAGCCTTTTGTCTTCCTTGAAGTAGGCGTGGCCATGAATACGTCACAGGGAATGTACAGTAAAGAATCCTCTTTTCTATTTTTTCATGCTAGCCTAAGATTCTTGATGTTATTAAATAAAGGAGATGGGTGGAAGAAAAGAGAAGGGGTAGAAGGTAAAGAGAGAAAGACGAGGCATCACATGTGGTACAAAAAAGCAAAAAATGTTCAGCACTAGGAGTACAGTGCCTTGTGTGAGTTGGGCCAAATATTCTCTCTGGTGTTGTTTAACTTTCAATCATGGTATTGGATAGATGGCCGTTGAGGTCTATGATAGGTGCAACGTCTCTGAATCTGTTGCCACATCTAGTTCTTCCTGGTCACAGATGTGGTGCAATAAACAAAAACTACACAAGCAACTGGCATCCAGGTAGTAGGCAATGTAAAGGTAGGATCAGATTGGGGCAGAGCTGGGGAGCTCCAGGGCAGATCCTTTGAGAATGTGATGACAGCCCATTCTCTATGGCTGTAGTTCCCTTTAAAACAACACAGAAATGTTAATCCTGGTCATCCCCTCTGCCTCCTGGAGATCTTATGAGGATTATTACTAAGAAACAATTGCAAAGCACTTTGTGAATCTGGGCTGCTATGGAGATGTAACTAAACAAAAATAGTAACAACACTAATGATGGCTTCTGTCACTTGGGAACCTGTAAAATCATCGTTGTTACACCTTACTTCACGGAAGAAAAGAGAGTTCTTACAAACTTCAACAGGGAGGGCATTTTCAGGAATGCCTCCTTTGAAACCCTAAAGATCCTTAGTTTCTGGGAGGGCTGTTAGCTACTTTGTAATGCTGGAAAACACTTGGTTCCACCATCAGTGGCAACTCCCATCCTGACCTCTGACACTCTTTTGCAGGAGAGAATTCGCCAAATGTGCACTGGGCTATCAAAAGGAGACGAATATTTTTCTAGATAGCCAACTCAGGTTGGGGTGTCAGCATTTTCCTTTATATGACCTTCTTGGAACTGGTTTTTGAGAGGAAGAACAATGTAGGTGAGGGGTCCTTGCTCTGCTTTGGGCAGCCTGCTTTCATGTCAGTGTGAGCCAAGTTTGACTCATGAGTAAGCCTCACTACCAGACCATCTTTTTCTAAAGACTAGAGAGAGAAACATGTGAGGTTGCCCTCTCTACTGGCATTGCGAGTGTGTTGGGGGCTGTCCTGTGACAGGGACTTGGGTGGCTTTACATACCTAATTTTGACCCTAAGGAGACCTCAAAAGCCCCCTTTTCAGTCATTTTCACTTAAATCTTCAGAAAAAAATTATCATACACTTTTCTCTGCCAGGGATTTTGCTTGGCATCTCTGTTTTTCTTTCACGATTCACAAAATTAGATATGCAAGATGAGATAATATATTTTGGTAAGTGGGCGATATAGTATAAGCTAAGAAATTGATGCTTTTCATTTGAACGCTGCTTTATAATTAACAAAGAGCTCTCATCTGCATCTTCTCCCTGGCTCCTCATTTTACATATAAGAGGTAGCAATTGCTATCTCCTTTCACAGATGAGGACATTTGAAGAGTTAAGTGACAAATCCATGGTCAAAAATTGGTAGATTCAGCACTGGACTTTGGCTTCTAATTCCAAGTCCAATTTTCTCTCCACTGTGTATAGGTTTTGAGTCTCATCACCAAGACCAACTGACGGGACTGAGTAGATCATCTTTAAGGTCTTTCCCACCTCGAATAGCCCATCATTTGGTGATTCCAGGATTCTTTGTTTAAAATAAAAATTATATGAAGAAAAGGTTTGATAGATCCCTTTCTTCTCTTTTCCTCCTCTAACAAAATCTCCTTTTTATTCTGTGATGTACAGGAAAAGGGTGAAGGTAGTTTCCATAGTTGAATACATGGTGTGATAGAGTCTGGAGGCAGACTCTAGTCATGCTCTTGCTATTGCAGACCTGAGGGCAGAAAAATTTTAAACATCTTTGGAACATTTAAGATCAAAACATGTAGTTGCATCTGACAGGATTGCTTGAATTTAGAAAGAAACACAACTCTGCCTTGGAAATGTCAGGGGATGCAATTATTTCTTTTCTGGTGGTAGAAAGCCTCCTCAGAGGAAGAAAGTGTGCATGGGCAAACACATGCAGAGACAATTCAGTCTTTTGTCTCAGCTCATGCCCTTTTAGTTATAATCTGCTTTTAGATTGCATGGCAGTTAGTGGGAAGGATGGAAGGACCCATAACAGTCTTCCATGTTCCAGATACTATAACACATTATGTCATTTAATACTCTCATCAAACCTGTTAGGTAAGTATTCCACCATGTTTTACTGATTGATGGATGAGGAAGTCAGGGTCCAGGGAGATTAAGGGCTCTATCCAAGGCTGCAAGGTTACTAATTTGCCAAATTGGGATTGAGACACCAGAGTCTAGGCTCAATCAACCACAAGTGCCCCCCCCCCCTTTCAGTGTGACCTCTTCCTTTCCTTTGTCTGTTTTAATTTTTTTTGGCTTTGTTTCATCAATCTATTAAAAGGCATAGACTGAAATGTTGAAGCAGGAAACATCTCAGACTATCTAGATAAACTCTTGCTCTACGAAAGAGGAAATTGGCTCAGAGAGGAGAAATGTACTTCGTAAGTCACATGGACAGTTCACATGAGAGCGGGAATGAAAATGAAAACTTGTGTTTCTGGATTTCAGGTTCAAACTATCCTTCTACTTGGTGACACTGGCTTTTCAATAAAGAAGATTAAGGTGAAGAAATAATCCCTTTTATGGCTTTTCACCCATAAATTAAAAAAAAGGAGTTAATTTTCCTAACTTGTTTTTTTTTTTATAAAGGCATGTTATTTATTTATTTATTTGTTTGTTTATTTGTTTGTTTTGTTTATACATGCACTGGGCATAGTCAGAAGCTCGGGAGGGTGCGAGAATTCACCAGAGCCAGAGCAGGGAGCAGAGCAGGCAGAAGGACCGAAGCACACTGCTGAGGGGAGCAGCGGGCGGCAGGAGAGGTCTGCACGCCACGTGGGACCCTCCTCCGGTGGCCGGGGAGCAGCCGGGGATCGAACCAGCACCGCAGAGTCTGCGGGCAGCTTCACAACCCAGCGCTCAACCGCTGTGCCACCGGGAGGCCCCTAACTTGTTTTTTGAAGCTCTAATTTTGACACCAATATATAACAAGGGCTTTTGGGAAAACAAGAACTGCAGACCAATTTCATAAATTATCAGATATACAAAAATTCTAAACAAAACATCAATGAATAGAATCTAGCAATTTATAGAAGAATACTTTAGCACACTTCAGATGGGTTTATTTCCAGAGTGTGAAGTTAATTCAAGTACAAATCAATCAGTGTGTTTTATTACTTTAATCGAACAAAGGAGAGAAATAAGATCACTTCAACAGATGGAGGAAAAGGCATTTGGTAAAATGTGATATGTATTTGCAAATCTAGACCAAAACCAACACCAAAAAGCTCAAAAAATAATGTAGTACCTAGAAATAGAAAAAGAATTTCCCCAAAACACAAAACAAAGACATTACAAAAACTCTTTTCCTGAGATTAGAAACATGCAAAAAGAAGAGCCAGCCATCAACATTTCTTTGTAATATTGTCCTGAAAGTCATAGCCAGTGTGAAAAAGCAAGAAAAACAAATAGCATATGTAAGTCTTAGAAGGAAGAAATAAAGCTATTATCGTTGTAAGTAATTTATTGTGAACTTAGAAAATCCAAAATATTCTAAAAAAATAGTTAAAAAGAATGAAACTTCGCTGTGAGCAAAATCAGCTACAGTTCCTGCTTTCCAGGTAGCCAGCAGTGAAGACATTTGTTGGTAATCCCCTAAATGAGCAGATCGGCACAAATTGAGATAAATATACTAAGGGCACCTAGCAGAGGAGCTACTCTTAGCCTGGAGGTGGGTGTTCAGTGGGGAAGGAAGAAGGAACATTCCAGGCTGAGCAAAAGGCTGTGTGGGCAAATAGGAGAAAGTAGAGAGCTTTGAGGCTGGAGACTGAGAGGTGGGTAGCCTGGGGGGAAGGGGAGATGGAAGGGAAGATGCGAACGGGGAGGGAGGCAAGAACCACAGGGGCTGGTCTTGTGTAGACCCCACTAAGGACTTTACCCACTGAATTTTAGGCAAGTGCTCCAGGAACTGGGGGAGCAGAGAGATGGTTGTGACATGGAATAGAGGGAGACGTTCCAGTTGACAGACGCCTGCAGGAAGTCCAGCTTCCTGTACAGTCAGAAAATCCCCACTTAGCTGTGACCCCCCCTCTTTGTGTTAGCTCATTTGTTTCCTAATTTTGTTTTATTTTGTTTAATTTTGTTTCCCAATTTTCCTAATCTTGTTTCTAGATCCCTTTCTCTCGTCTTTTGAGATGGTTTGTAGGGCTGTGTGCCCCTCCCCACCTGTGCCTTTATTCCATCTTGCACAGAAGCACATATCAGATCAGAGTTCATCAGGGCTTTCTGTGTGGCAACAGTCGAGTCTGTGCCTGTCTCACTTTTTTTCTTACGGCCTATTGTCTAACCAGAAGTGCATTCTTAAGAAATTTCCTTTCCTTTGAGTCATTTTCATCAGTTATCTCTGGTCTTAACTTGTTTCTCAATGAAAAGAAATAACTTACTTTTTTTTGGATTCCAAATCATGTTTATTAAATATCACTAGAGAAATATAAAAAATGTAAAGAAGAAAATAAAACCGGCAATCAATTGAGTACCTAGAGGTGATCACTCTTGCTATTTTAGTACACAGGCCTCCCCTGCTTTTAGAAAATTATCTTTCCTCCACTTTGCTTTTATGAAAAACCTACATTGGTACCTGTTTTCGCTAAATGAAAGGAGTTCAAAGAGGATTTTTGCTTTTAGGATGAAAAGGCAAAAAGTGAAAAAAGCATTCTGCATTTGCACAGAGCCATTCTAGAAGTGATGCCATCTGAGTGGGGAGATGCCCTGCCACGCTTCTTCCTCTGGAATGACTTAGACAGGCTGTGTATTTATCATAACACTCCTGCTTTTAGTGTATGTTAGTGTTATTTTAGGCATTTTTTTGTTATTTGGTATGATTTGGCAGGTTGTTTTGTGGGTTTGGCAGGGCTCAAAAAATTTCTCACATAAATTAACGGTAATTGCTTCTTTGCTTTATACCATTTTGGTTTACAAGGGGTTTCATAGGCATGCTATACTTTTGGTTAGCAGAGAAAAGCTGTATTTTCCTTCAGTCTTTTTTATTTTCAAGCATATATAGATTGTTTTTATAAAATTGGAATACCCTAAACTTTTTGACATTTGCTTTCCTGAAATCTAGGGAACATTATGTGATAGACAGTACTTACCAAATGTACGTCTGCTTGATTAATGGGGTTGGTTGATTAATGTCTGTCTTCATTTCCGGCCTCCCTTGCACTTAGGCTTGGGGTGCTTGTTTTGTTCTGGCCAGTGCACTCTGAGCTGGCAGTGATACGTGATGTGGTACACTTTTAGGCTTGATGCAATCAAGGCCAATGTCTGCCTCCGTCATCTCCAACTATCCCTGATGCAGCAACTTTGGAAGTCACGTGTTCCAGATGAGGTGACTACAGATGGACGAGGTGTGGCTGCATAAACACGAGACTAGAACAACCTGCATTTGACTTCGCATGAGTAAGAAACAAATCTTTAGTTGTGTTAAGTCACTAAGATTTCAGAGTTTGTTTTGTCGTATAACCTTACCTATACTATTGCTCTGTATGACTATCCTTCCCCTTTCCTCAGAATTTCTCTTTCATATAATCTATTTCTTCTTGAACAGAATTGTGTCTAGATTAGCATTCCCCTTGGCACATTCTTTACCTTGTAGGAGATGAATTTTCCAATAAAGTGAATTAAGAACCAAATCAGAATCTTGCATTTTGGCCAAATTTTGATTTCTGATATAAAGATAAGTTAACTGTGAAAATAATATGGCTAATATTAAAGTTGGTACTCTTGAGTTAACATCCCAGATGAAAATCATATACTCATTTCATTAAAAATCCAATTACATGGTACTTCAGAGTTTTTCAAAGCATTTTTTATAACATAAATGGAAGCATTCATTATGATGTGAAGCTGACTTATTATGCATGAAAGTACTTAGTAGCAAAGATCCTATGCCCAGTTCTTGCCTCCCTCCTCCTGGTACGGATGCCTGGTCCCTGGGGAGGATGGGCCCTGACTTAGAGCATGTGGTCTAGGGCAAGAAGCAGCAGGTGCAGCATGCAGTGTGGTTGAAGAGGCAAGAATCTTAGGTCTGGTTTTGACCCTTACTGGTTGTGTGGCCTATGATAATTCCTGCACATCTCTGGGCTTTCCTTATCTATAAAGAGAGGTGGTTGGCCTGGATGACTACTGGGCTTTTTCTAGTCCTGGACGTCTATCCCATATTTCATGACTACCCTGTGCATTACTGGGCTCTGCTTCATGGTGTCTGTGCTCTTGAAATGCTGTGTTCAGTTACAGCCATTCCACCCTGGACTCATCCCTTACTATCCTTTTGTAGAATCTTTCTGTCACATGTACAATTGAGTCACAAATAGATACATGCTTCTTTATTACTTCAGTGGCAAATGTGATTTGTCACTCTGATTATAATTAGAAATAATTTCTTTTCCTAGTACAGTACAGATGTAACAGTTGCTGATAAATTAGAAGGCAATGGCAATTTTAGCCCATTTGTTATGTGATGATGACTCAAGTTTGTTTTCTAGAAAGCTTAATATACATGAAGGACCATCTGGACGTTGATTACCTTCAAAAGAGGATGTTTCTGAGTCCGAAAGGTTGGACGAGTTTTGGAGTATTTTGATTAAAAATAAATGAACATCTAAGGAAAACATGTCATCTTAACTTTCTCTTTTCTGCACTCTTCTCCCGCATGGGGTCTTAGGACTATAGACCATTATGTCCCCTGCAGGGTTGCTTAAAGACACCTTGTCTCTCCTGAGGGGGAAAAAAAAAAAAAAAACAGAATGAGAGCGTCTGGGCCAGGAGCAGAGTCCAGGGGAGGCGAGCAGGGGCTCCCATAGAGCACAGTTCCCTGCCTGCCTCCCTGAAGCCAGCTTGGCCCTCGGTTCCACAGTTCTTTCCTGTTTCAGGCATTGTATTTCAGGCATTCCATATCAGAAGTATGGAAGAGAGGTGGCAAAGAACTCACTTGTCTCAACAAACTTGTAGTTGATGGGGAAGACCTGTGCAACTGACTGTATGTAAACAGAATAAAAGAAGAACTGCAACAGAGATAGCAGCAGATAGATGGGAAGGGAGTGGCTGAAGCTGCCAGAAAATGATGAAGGCTTTCATGGAGGCTACATTTTAGTGGTGTTGTACAGAGTTCAACTTGGATATTGGAGAATGGTTATTCCAGGTTGAAGAAATAGGGTGAGTAAAGGCATATGACATAAGATTACATGTCTGTGTTTTCTACTGTGTGGCCTTGGGTTAGTTGCTTAACTTGTAGAGCTTTGGTTGCCTCATCTGTAAAGTGGGCTAGTAATTCTTTCTTTACAGGGCTTGGGAAGGGTACATGAGATTGTGTTTGTGTGAGAGCTCAGGTTAGTGTTAATTTCCTTTCACTTCACCCCAGTGTCCAACAGGCTGTCATTGCTATTCCTTTCCGCAGGCTGTTCCCCTCCAACTCATGGAACTTAGACCTTTCTTTACTAGTCCTTTGCCCTTCCTGATATAGAATGAAAAGCATAGTTTTGCTGCAGGGAATGTCAAAGGTGGCTAACCAATACCAGGTTATAGTCAAAGGAATTCTAAGAACTCAAGCTTGTCTTTGGTGGGTATTGTAGGCTGGAACAATTAATAAGGGTTGTTAGTTCACTTATTCACTCATAGAAGATGAGATTTTTGATCCAGGAACATATCTGGAGGTGAGGACTGAGCGGTGATTTAAGACAGACATGGTTCTGAACTGCATAGAGTATCTTTGCTCACAGAGTTCTATCTTGCATGTATGATCACAGTTCTGGTGGTTATTTTATTTTTATTTTTATTTTTTGTTTGTTTATATGATCATTCTTTTTTAAAAATTTTTATTTATTTATTTAAAATTTTTATTTATTTGTTTTTTTAACAATAATGTTTGCTTCCTCCCACCCCCTCAGGTTGAGTCCCCATAGAGTTTCCTTCCCCAAGGCACCCATGTACCATCACCACAGTCCCCTGTGCTCCTCCCTCCATCCCTCTCACCCTCTCCCTCCTCCTCCCCTGCAGGATGTCTCTGATTTGTAATTGTCTGTTTTTGCTTTGTTGTGTTTTATACTGTTATTATTATTTTTTACACTGATGTCTTATTTGGTTCCCCTATATTCCTGTTATAAGTGAAACCATCCAATATTTTTCTTTTTCCTTCAGGCTTATTTCATTGAGCATAATTCCTTCTAACTCTATCCATGTTGCTGCAATGGCTTGAGTTTATCTTTTTTGATTGCTGAATAATATTCCATTGTGTATATATTCTGGTGGTTATTTTTAAAAGGTAGTAGAGGATGGTGTGCAAATGTGTGTGTGTGTGTGTGTGTGTGTGTGTGTGTTTAAACAACCTAGTCTGAAAGGTCATAGAAAGTCTTCTGAGAAAGCAACCTAATGGATAGTAAGGGTAGGATTTACTTTATTTCTTAAAAGTTATTTATTTATATATTTTACATCATTGCTCATTTTTGTACAATGTTTGATTTCTTCTCTCAGATGTTGTCCCCATAAAATTACCACCACCAAGACACCCATGAACCATCATCACAGATTCCCATGCTCCTCTATCCTGTTCTGATCACCCTCCCTCTCCTTCCCCTGATTGCTGTCCCCAGTTTATAGTTTGACTGCCAGTTTGTCTCCTCCCCACCCCGATCCCTTGTATGGTTCCCCTATGTTCCATCTGTAAGTGAAACCATCCAATATTTTTCTTTTGCCGCCTGACTTATTTCACTGAGCATAACCCCAGGAAGGGTAGAATTTAACCTGATGAATTTAACCTACTTCCAATAGGGAGAGCAAGTCATGTCCCAGCACTGGGAACAGCATGTGCCTGGGCCCTGTACTGCATGGATGACGTGTGTGAGAAAATCCATCAAAGGTGGCAGATGCCTAGAGAGTGAGGGGCACGAGAAGAGGCTGAGGAGGTAGGCAGGGCCAGGCTCGGGCAACTCTATGAGTGTGTTAAAGATGGTGGATTTATCCTGAAGTCGGTTTTGAATTATTTTAAGCAGGGTAGTGGTAAATCAAATTTGTGGGGTTTTTTTCTTTGTATGGAAAAATCCAGATTTGTATGGATTCTGTATGGGCTCTCAAGGGGAGAGTGTAGATGAGGGGAGACGGCTATTGAATTACCTGGTGTAACCCAGGAGGATCTTGCTAAATGTATGTGGGCTTTCAGTTATGAGCAATGAGGAACGCCTGGTGAGTGTCGAGCAGAGCAATGATGGTGGAGGGTCTAGTGGTGATGACCTCAATAGATGAGCACAGGAAATGAGTGGAGCTGAGAGGTCAGTTTGCTCCTGCAGATGAGAGCTTGGCCTAAGGGAAATGGTGATGGGGTCAGAGGGAGGAGGAGGTGATGGGGTCAGAGGTCTGAGAGACCTCTACAGGGAAGGAAGAACTGACAGACCAACATGATGGGTACTGGGAATGCAGGGAGAAAAAAGGGGACTCTAGGATGACATCAAGATTTGAGTCTGGTTCATAGAAATAGAGAAGTCCGGAGGAGGAAATGGTTTGTGGAGGAAAATTTAGGCTCCGGACAACTTGAGTCACCATTCCACAGTAGACTTAACCTAATAGAGTGGCATTGCCCAAATTTCCCCATATTAGTTAGTTCTATTGTCTCTGTGTCCTGGGAATTTCTTTTGACCTAAACTTTTGGCTTTGCAGAGTTTGGAAAGAAGGATTTCACAGAAACAAGAGAGAGAGGGGCAGTGAGATCTTATTGTTTCATAGGTTTCAGGAAGGAAACAGGATCTTTCAGTCTAAGATTTCCTCAAATATAGCCTGAAAGGCCATGGATTACATTTCAAAGCCAAACTCCCAGCATTTAAAACCAGAGGAGGAAAACCTGCATTAATTAATAAGTGGTGTTTGGAAACCAATAAACCATTTGAAAGAATAAAAAATGAAAAGTTTATATCTTTCTTCACAGCAAATGAAATTACAAATAAATTAAAGGTTTACACACAAAAATGAAACCACAAAACTATCTGTAGAAAATAAAGGCTGATGTTTATATAATCCTAGGAATGCATTTCCTTGGGATGATTTTTAAAAGTGGCATTCAGGGTTCAAAGGTCTTTTCAGCGGTAAGATTGATGGAACTTTCACCACATTGCCCTTTGGGAAGTTTGTGTCCCTAACATTGTTACCAGCATCGTAACAAGGTGCCACTGCCCCACACTTTCACAAACGCTGGCTATTTTCACTTTACAAAAGCTTAAAATTTGGGCCTCCCCTGTGGAGCAGCGGTTGAGCCCTGGGCTGCCGGGCTGCCCGCAGCCTCTGCAGCTCCAGTTCTTTCCAGGGCCGCCGGCGAGGGACCCCCCCCACCCCCAACACGCACACCAAAAAAAAAAAAAGCTTAAAATTTACTGCCAATGACTTTTACCCCCTGTTTCCTGAGTATGTTCAATTTT